CCCCCCCCCCCCCCCGCGCGCGCTCGCGTCGCGTCATGAATCAAACCGACTTGACTTTGCGCGTTGTGTCAACAAAAAACACAACATTTCGCCGCGTCCTCTAAAGCGTACAAGCAGCTGATTTAACAGGCTCCAGCTGCAGTAGAGAGCCTTGAAACCAGATTGATTTAATCTCAGTTCTGGACGTCTGTTTCTTTTCCCCCACGTTGTTTGTATTTATAGCGCCTCTTTAAGCCATTCTTCCCTCAACCAGGGGAAGGAGGAGAGAAAAAGAAAAAAAAAAGGGCCTGCCTGTTTGGAGTTTACAGGATCAAAGAAGAGGTAAATATCATTTCCATAACATTTGAACCAGTTAACCAGCAGCACAATGCAGATAAACACTACTGTAAGCGCCTGACAGCGCCAATGAGGCCGGAACTCTGTGATTTGCCGCTCCGGCAAAGAAGAGGGAGGCGAGCGCGAACATGGAGGAGGTGAGGGGGGGGGGGGGGAGTCAACTGTGCTCTCCCTGCATCACTTTCCAAGCAGCCCCCTCCCTCCCTCGAGCGGTGGTGGTGTTTTAGGCAACCGTTGCCTCACTTTCGGGTTGGAGGGAGGGCCCGATGGATGCCGTCCCCAAGGTGAATGGAAAAGAATAGCTGCACCACACTGCCCGGGGGGTGGGGGGTGGGGGGGGTGAGCTGCACCGCTTTGGGTGATTCATCTATTGATTCTTTCTCTACACCGAGCACGGAGGTGCACATGTAAACACATATATTAGGCGGCCTCGCAGTGCACATGTGCGCCCCCGACGCGCAGCATGCAGACGCGGTGAAGCCCGCCCCGCGGCCTGCTCTCTCGCTGTGTTTTTTTTTGTTGTTGTAATAATCACATTCCCGACTTCCACCAGCTCGCGGGCAATCTCCCTGCTCCAGATGCACGTGATGGACGGCTAAACTAGAAATGAATGAGGAGATGAAGGAATAAATAAATGATGAAATGCGTATTAGCGCCGTTTGTGTGGGACAGCTATTGTGTTATTGATTGAACAGTAAGCGGGCCAATCACGTTGTTATTCTTGCGCCATCTCTTTTCTGAGATGGGCCTTTGCAAAAAACTTCACCCTCTGAACTTCTCTACGAGCCCGTCAGTTTAGAGCTTTTGTTAAAAGTCTTATTTACCCAGAATTCATTAGGAATGAGTCCTACTTAAGATCGTTAGCAGCCAGACGGCTTCGTGCAACAGATGAGTTCAGAGCGGAGCCGTAGATCCCGGTTCCTTTCCTCTTCTGTTGAAATCAAGTTGCAGCCACAGTGGTGACCTAATGACCTCGACTGTTTGCAGTGAGATGATAAAAAAAAAATTAAAAAAAATCATGCTCACGAAATAATACATTTCAAACGCTTGCATCATTTTATTTTCACATATGGTACTTCATTTAGAAACACCTTGTTGCCCCAAACACTATTACAATTGATTATCAACCCAACAACTAATTTACCTTTTTTTGTTTTTAAATTTTAGTATTTATGTTTTTTAAGAAATGTGATGAATTGTACAAAGCTGTGAAATTATACTTTTATATATATATAACAAACACAATGTTTTATTGTTATCATTTATGATTTATCTACTTATTCATGTTATTTCTATGTTGTAATCTCTTTATATTATTGTATATTTCATTTTATTTCGAGGTCAGAGGTGTGGGCGGTGTAAAGTGATTATACGAGGACATACAAAATACTTTATGTTCATAAATGCATACATCTACACATGACGGGAGCTTGAAAGGAACACGATCCCCGTTTTAACGGCGTGTGATGTGGCGTTCAAAGCCGCGGCCTCCTCATCTGCTGCTCTGAACCAGGAAGTGTCCTCCAGGAATTTCTCTCTCCTGAGACAATAAGCCTCTCTTTTTTTGTGCGGACGTCTGTTTTTCCCCCACTTCAAAGAAAAGGTTCATAGCATCTTCGCGGCGCGCGGCAGATCGTAAACGCACACGACAGGAGTAGCATTTCATGTTGCGCCGCATTAAGGCATCCGGCTTTCCTTTTTGTCTGCATGATGGTGAACATCGCCGCTCGGGGTTGAAATTCAACCTTTCACTGCCAAAATAGCATAATGCCAGAGTTGTCACTTACAGTGGATATCATTGCTTTGGGCAGGAAAAAGAGCTCCTCTCCGCCATGTGTTTCTTTCTCCACAGACTTAAAAAAAAAAAAAAAACGTTAGACATGGCTCTCTCCCTTTGGGGCGGTAATGGCATTCTCCATGACAACGGCAGTGTGACACGGCTGTGCCCTTGGGGGCCGGGCGCCCCCTCTGGGGGGGGGGGGGGAGCGCCGCGGAAACACGACAGGGTCAATGGTCACCTCCCATCATCCACCAGCAACCCGTCCTCTTCCTCTCTCTCTCTCTCCTCAGGTGGAGCGAGGAATGTTAAGAGAGAGAGTCTTGAAGCAAGCCCACTCAGTCCAGGCCTGGCAAACGTGGAGCTTTAGCCACGGGCGGTTCTGGCGAGGTCTCTACCTCGCACAGCTCCTTGCCGCTCCTCCAAGGCCAGGGCCGGATCGATACGTAGAGCAGTGCGGATTCTTTTTGGCACCCGAGTATAGCGGTGCAGTGTTGCCCCGGGGTGCGGGTCCGTTGGAGACGCGGCAGTGCGCATGCGGGCAGAGTGGACTGAGTTTATTCAGGAAGGCGTCGAGATGCTCGCCGTTAAACTGATGCTTCCAACATGAGTTGCTGTTGTCGGGTATGCAGGAAACTCACGTGGCCGCGTTAAACATTTATTTTTATTCTGGGGAAAATTGAAATGGACGCGACAAGACAGCCTTCAAAAGACTTAAATATTAGAATAATGTTTCATTTCAGCTCATTCATAATCCGCAGTTATTAGAAAACAATATTTGCTGTTATTTCTCTTAAAATTATGCATAATGTGTCAAAAAATGTGACGCATCCACCAGAACTCATATGAAGAACCTCACAGATGAATATCGTCCATATATATATATATCTATATATTGTTAGAAACAATGCTCTCCTGCCACCTGGTGGCTAAAAAAGAAAAATAGTTTTACTGCATACTTCATGTCTTTAAGCATAAAACTAAACACCCTGAGGGAGAAACCCAACACAGAATAAACCTTTTAGAATGAGAGTACATTGCTTCTTTTGTTTCACACAAACAAGAACTTAAAAAAAGCTCTCCCTTCGGCGCTGTGTCCGACCTTGGCACGTCTTCAGAGAAAGATTCAAAGAAGGAAGTAAAGAAGAAAACAGGACCTCGTCCCGTCAACAACTCCTGTCCTGTACGTTTGGCTTATTTAACAACGGAAAATGTTCAACCTGTGAAACTGGACAACAAGGTGTCTTTCACAAAAACAGAGAAATAATGAAAAACAATCATAGAAACAGAGTCAGATTGCTTGTTGTCATAAAACTGACGCAGTCCGTATCCTTTTTTTTTTCTCCAAATGATCCGGCCGACCTTCTGTTTAAGTTATCTGGAAGTCACACGGTGTCCTCGCTCCTGTTCCTCGACCTAAACAAGGACGTCTGTTCAAAAGACGTGTGAGGCACCTGCAAGCAGAGAGACATCCAAAGCATGACATGTTCACGTCTTTCCTCTATAGGCAGGACTCACAAAGAGCCCCAAGGCAAACAGACACAGACATCAAATGTCCACAAATAAACTTCATGCTTTCAGTGTGTCACGCTGAGAAAGCCTAAACAAAAACATGTATATTCCTTCTCTCTGTTTCTAATGATGTGTGTACTGTGAAGTTTCACTAAGAATGGAAACATGCAACTCAAAATCATTCCCGGGCCGTACTGAGCATTATTATGAGGTTTTTGTTCTTGATGTAAGTGAAACTGTTCCAACTTTGGCAGAAGAGTGTGCGTTCGTGTGGGACCCGGCAGGTCGTCAACAACTATTTTCAGATGATCTCGTTCTCTCGGGAGGCGTTGTTTCAGTGTTGGTGGACTCCGGTTTATTTGCATCACATCAAAGTACTAAACTCTAGAGTAGGGCTGCACCCTCCTGGACAAAACGGACTTTGGGATATTTGATTTTTCTGGGATATATATTATGAAAAACTGCATCACAAAAATACATTTTCACCAGAAGTACTGGTACAAAGTACCTGCTTTTGGTTAAAGAAAATGTGAGGATACTGAAACGTTAGTGGTGCAGTCCTACTCTAGAGCTACATGACTAAAAACCAGTGGTCAGTGGTACTCACCGTATTGGTATGTGGACCTGGGTGGTGAGGGAAGTGGACCGCTGGGGGCTTGGGGGCCCAAACCTTTCCCGCCGCTCTGGAGAAGGGACCTCTGCACGCCCAACGCCACCGCCTGTGCAAATCTGGATGGGGCCGCACTCATCTTGTCCAGAGGTTTCGGTGCCGCTGCGGCTGAAGGTGGCTGACGGTCTGCACTGAATGCATGGGTCTGCCCGTTGGAGGTAGGACTTGGTGGCTGAGAAGATGGCAGAGAGGAAGCTGTCGTATCTTCTCTCTCTTCCTCATCAAAGAAGATAGGTGGAGGAGGGGGAGGGAAGCAGTCCTCTCCTTCCTCTTCTTGTACCACTTCCTCCTCAGCTTCCGTCTCCTCGGTGTATGAACCACAACGGTCCATGTCTGTACTTACAGACTGTCCGCTGGGACTTTGGCACTCACTGGTAAGTTCTCCGTCACTGCAGTCGGCTGGTGTCACCTCAGATGGGACTTCAGGTTCACCCTCTTCCGTCAGCTTTTCAACGGTGTCCCCGACCTCAGGCGAGCCTGGACTCTCCTGGTTATCCAAGTCATGCGGTGGTGGAGGAGAAGACGGAGTCACCTGAGAAGAGGGTTCTGGACTCTGCGAAGGTGTTTGAGTCTCCGATTCGTCAGGAGAACGTGGATCCTCCTCAGCCTCAGGTGGATTTCTCTCGGCCTCAAGAGAAGCTTCACTCTCAGGGTCGTCTTCTTCCGTTATCTGGTCCGGAGTGGGTTCTGGATCGCGGGACGTCTGTGTCTTCAAGGGATCCACTTTGAACGTGGTCATTACTTTCCTCTGCGCGGGATCCTCCCACTCATGCTCGGTGGGGAGGTTGGACGTCCGGACGGGTTCAAGTTCGGCACAGAAGAGCCCGTTATCTGAACACCTCTGGGTCACAAAGCAGGAGCCGTTGGAGAACTTTGGGAAGGAGGCAGAGTTCCTCAAACGCTTGACCAGGGTTCCTTTGGAAACCGAGGACGTCAGGACTTTGGCGAGAGCAGAGCGGGCGTCCGATAGGTCCATCCCTCGAAGCGAAGGCAGGGTCCCTTCATGGAGATGAGCGAATGACGGACGCGAGGAGAATGAGGAGGACCAAGGATGTGATGGATGGGGCGACGATGAAGATGAGGGTAGTGATAGATTTACGGAGTCTAGAGTCCCGGGAGAAATAGGAGAGGCTGAATTATTCACATTAAGGGGCATAATTAATGGAAAGTCAACTTTAAGGAATGTCCCTTTAAAGAAATGACTATATTTCAAATGGAAGTTCTGCACAGTAAACAGCAATATGTATCATTTAGATACGAAACACAGATGAAGTAACACACGGAATAGTGAGCTGAAAAGGACTAGTGACTTTTTCACTTTTTTTTAAACACATTTTTTAAAATAAAATATTGAAGTTAAATTAGTTGTTCCCATTTTTATTGTAATAATAGAAATACTAACTAGATAATGAATAAAACAGGCATATGAAATTATAAAACGTTACATTGTTCCATAAAATGTCTAAATGAGTCAGAAGAATAAAGATCAAAGAATCATAAATGTATGTAAAATATAAATAGGTAGAAAGGAGTTATCAGAGACAGAAATTTACATGCGACGTAAAAACATGATTTGGGGAGAGAGAACATGTCTCATAATAATATAAAATAATAGTATTAATAAAAACAATAATAGCTTCTAGATGCACCGCAAGAGTGGATTAATTTACCAAATATTAATATTGTTCTAAAGGCACAGCAATTACAAAATGTAACCCATGGAAAGGAAATCGCACAAAGAAAAGAACAAAAACTTAAGACAAAAGATGAAAGTCACAGAATTTCCACAAATAATAAAAAAAAAAGCAGACAGATAAGCAGAAAAAGCAGACAAAATAAAAAAACAGGACAAATAAATAGCGTTGAAGTGCAGCGGGGAACAGTGACAGACATCCATAAAAAGCCACTAAGATGGAAAGGAGGAAGAAGAGGCCGACGCAGGAGGACGGAGAGGAGGAATAAGGATGGTGGAAGGAGGAGGAAGGAAAGGAGACAGCAGCCGCCCTCAATCACCCCGTTCAGGTAACACAGAGTCTGTAGGCAGGGAGGAGAGAAAGCTTTAGGGCAGCGCCTTCAGTCCGAAACCCTTTTCCTACAAACACAACTCTAAAACGTTCACAGTTAGGTCTCATGCTGACGATAACAAAAAGAGACAGTTTGGTCAGAATGAAACCCTGGATGAAAATGTGAAAGGGCCACGTTGAACCTCCCAACATGTCTGTAAAGTGTAGGAGGACAGGATCAAGAATGTGATCAACTCTTGGCTGGGAGTTGTTTTTCCACGCTAGGATTCAAACCAACTCAGCAGTGTGTTGCTCTATCGCGGCTAAAAGAAAACAGACACCGCTGAGGGCAATTTAGTCCGATAATTACAGCACGAAAAGTTTAGACCTAACTTTTCACTTTCACAGCGCACAATGAAGTGTTTCTCACATAATTACAGATCCCTAATAAGCTAACGGTCATTGTCCGTTAAAGTCGTCAAAAGCACGTCAGTAGAACGGACACGTGCACGGAGAGAGAAGCTGAATACAGGTGAAAAAAAAAAAAAAAAAGAAGAGACGGACTAATAGAGGGGAATTAAAGCTCGGACAATAGAGCGCTTTATCTTGGAACAGACTGAAGCCGGCGCGTTCCACGAACGAGGCTCTCCGGGTCACTTTAATTGCCCTGAACGGGGGTTAAATTGTTCCGACTGATAAAAGCGGGCGTTTTCGTGGCGGATTTAACTGCTAAATCGTCCTGTTTGATGGTATTCGCTTTGACATTTTAATCTTGATTTAACTTGACCCCGCGAGGTGCCGGCTGAAGCCGTGCGGATTTGGCAGATACAAGAATTCACCCCACTCTAAAGCCATTTGATTTCCACTGGAATACTGTAAAAGGTCAATTGGGATTACGCTAGCAGCATATTTCAAACCGTCTGCTGTTTCAATGATGCTGCCTTTGCGGTCACCGCTACATAGCAAAATAAACAGCGAGCTCACGAGTGGGATCAACAAAGCACGGACTAGGGACGTCGTTATCCGTCTTTCCTTTACAAGTAGGAAAATTATTTCTCTCTTTATTTGAGAAAAGTTCATATTTGTGTTGTCAAATTTCACTATGACCCTGAAATTCTGTCTCTTGTGTTATCATATACTGAATGCAAGCAAAACTACAGAGCAAAATCACACTCTTTCTGATTGAACCAATCTATGAACTGTCTGAGACAATGGATATCCACGGCCTCAAATGGGCCCCAAAAAAAATTTCCGCACACTACGCGCACAAACATGCCACTCCCCTTGGGGCTAAGCCCCCCCTTCTTTGAATCCTAGAAACGCCCCTGGCACGGACTATTATGTGATGGCACTGACCTTATATTTATATTATATTTATGGAAGTGAGAAATAAATCTGGTGATCCATATATAAATCTGATCTATCCTCTTAATTGTTTTCTCTCCTATTTATGACTTAAGAACAGGTGAAAAAATGTGTTTCGTGAGAATCAAGTGTTTGTAGTTGTAATACTAATTTCGGCCACAAGAGGCCACTACCCCAAGTTCTAAATAGGACTAAAATCATTCATTTTTTTCTTCCAGGTGATTTTTAACTTGTGTGTTAGCAAGTTATGTAAATTATGACTCACCTGAAAGAAAACATTAATGTTTTTAGTCCTATTTAGAACTCGGGGTAGAGGCCTCTTGTGGCCAGAATTAGTATTAAAAATACAAATGTTTGAAAAAATGATCCTGATTTTTTTATAGTGAATTTTTTACCTTTAACCTCTGTGTCTGCCTTCAGCTCCTGGTGGGTGTTTGCACTGGGAGGGGGCGGGGCCCTCCTCTTGGTCCTCCTTAAGGTGGATTCTGCAGACCTCTACGGAGAGACAGCGACATTAAATGACATCCTATTTACTTCAGTGTTTCTTCATTGGTTGGAACTACACGAACGAGAAAAAGACCAAGAAGGAGCAGAAGAAGAAGACTTTCCTGCCCACCACCGGACCCACCTGCGATCCCCCGACATGACAGGTGCCGAGGTTGTTTGGGACGCTCTGGGAGGCGCCTATGGGCGGCTGAGGGGCTCGTCTCTTCTTGGGCATGTCTGCCGGCAGGGTGTTAGAAGAGGAAGCCCCGACTCCCGCCTGTGCGTTACGGCCAGGAGAAGCTGGGACGCTCCCTGCTCCTCTCTACGAAGAGGGAGATGCAAATGTTTGGTCACAAACGCTGACAAGACTAGATTCACTTATCTCCCACAAGCAGACGACGCACTGTACCGTTTCGCCATTTTTCTTCCTTCTCCTGAATAAGCTGAGGAATCCTGTGTCGTCCTTCTGTTTCTTCTCCTTCTTTGGCAGGTCTATATAATAAAGACAAATATCAGTCACGGGTGTGTTAGCAGAGAGAGGGTGGGTAACACTGAGACTGCATGTGCATGGACGTGTTACCTCGTGGTGGAGGTGGTGAGATGACCTCTGTTGGCGTGACAGCTGTTTCAGAAAGAAAAAAAAAGAAAAGTTTTGCCATTTAAAAACGGGTGTTTTTTAGTGACGATTCTCTCCGATCAATCAGCAGTGTCTGCAGTGTTTTAACTCCACTTTCTAGTATCAGCACACCGTACCTGCTTCAGGTGTCCTGGGTTGGTGATGGGGGTCAGTCGTGTCTTTGGCAAACACCTCCCTCAGTCCGAGGTCATTCAGGCTCTCGGTCAGGTCCAGCGGCTCTCTGGACTGAGAGTCCCTCAGTAAGACGGTTGTTGCTACTCGAAACTCGCACTTGTCGCACACCACCGGCAGCAGCATCTCAAGGGGCACTCTGGGATTCACTCGCACCACGGCCTTATGGGACTTGTTGTAGTTGATCAACAGACGTACAGACGCCTGCAGAGAGAGGTTCGGTTTTCAACTATGGAGATGAAAGTCTACTTAAAACACGCTAAGATAAATATTGATTTCTCTCAAATTGCGTCCGCCGTCTTGGTGCTTTTTACCTCGGGCATGTACGGCCTCCTGATCTTTTCCTCCATCCCTTTGGGCTTCAGCACAATGGTGTCGGCTTCTAGCGAGCCGATGGGAGAGTTGGGTTTGAAGCCGATGTTGTTCTTGTTGGGCGAGAGAACCTCGACGGTGTAGTCGGACGGATTCAGGTGGTAGCTTGCGCAGAGGGTCACCAGTAAGTCCATCACCGGTTTGCTATCAGGAGGAGGAAATGAAAACAAGCGGCAATAAATAACTTTTACATTTAAGATCTTCTAATTGTATGGAATTCACATAAAGAAAAAGCTCGTTAATGTGGCCCACCTTCCATGCACTGTGGCGTTCTTCTCCAGCCCCCCTGGCAGAACCACAGACAGGGAGTGGTCTCTCTCCAACGGGTTCTCCTGTACATCCATCTCAAAAAAAGGCCTCCCCCAGATCTGATGCTGTGCGCAGTGTCAGGTAGACCTCCTGAAAGGTGAGAGAAACATCATATGACTCCTGGAGAGGTGCAGGAACACCATTAGTCTGTGGCCTGACTGTTGGTGTGAAATGTCTGACAGCGGCTCTAGAAAGGAGATTTGAAGGCCTGACACACATGTATAAATTAAAATATAGATTATTCACGGAAGGAACGCAACTAGTAACTATTACTCTAATTAACCTGTTAATCTTTTTATTTTATTTTTTCATTTTATTTTATTGATTCATTCCTTGGTCAAGGAAACATCAGAAAGTAGTGCAAAAAATGTTTCTTTAGTTTATTACAAAAGAAGAAGAAAATCTTCTTTGCTTTAAAGCTTTTAAGACAATACAATGACAACACTTGTGTCAGATATCAACTTAACTAAAAAGCCTCTTACTCAAACGTGACACATGACGGTCCAAATCCGCCACCAGTTCCACCTGAAAACGTATTTTAAGTATCGCTGAAACCCGAAATCACAGCCGCGAATGTAAACGTTTGCAACTTTGTTTTTTCCTAAAATGTTACGGAGCGACTTCCTCCGCCTCGCGACTCTCTCTCTCTGTCTTCACTTTTGACCTCTGTGTGGTTCTTTATCAACAGTTTGATTAAAGCCGACGCCCTCGGTGTTATTTTAAACTAGCTGTTCACCGGAGCGTGCCAACGAAAACAGCTGTGTGTGTGTGTGTCTGCTCATCAAGGCGCGCGTGAACACTGGTTCCCTCCAGCGCGTGGGCGCTCGCGCGAGAGGTGGCTGAGTTCCAGCTACACAAAACTCCACGTAACGTTACATATTACTTAACGTAGCCGCGTGTTAAGCAGTGTGATAACAATATTTAAATTTGTAATATGTGACATTTGTCAGGCGTATAGTAAATGCACAGAAGTGGACTAATTAATTAAGATATTTATTTAGTTGTTAATTGTTTATGTGTTTACACTGAAGCATAGCCTGTTTTATTTAAATGTATGCACCACATTACTACTAGTATACTAAATACAAGTATAAAAGAAAGCTAAAAGTACACTACACAAATATAGGATCATTGGTTCCAATTTTAGGAAGAGACACATAATCACCAGTGCTATTTTTCTGATGAACTTAGCCTGTTCTATAGTTTACATCTATTAGAATAAAAGTCCTCTTCATTGACAAACTGTCTTAACACAAACAGGACTAGACCCATGCAGCCCCTGTCTGTCCTCCGCCATGTCAGAAGTAATGCTGAGTTCTAAATAAGCTTACACTGTTTCTCCAGTAAGAGGGATTAGTGCTTTTTTAAAAGCCTCCATGCTCCCTACGTTCAGAAACACTTCACTGATTACATATGCACCCATAGCCATTGGCACTTACCTGTGTCCACAGAGTCTTCCCATTCTCTATCAGCTTTCTCTTCTGTATTATTAAGTGGTTAGAGGAGGCAGGGTTGAGGAACAGAGCAGTTCTGTACCCCCCCACCCCCCCACATGTAATCCCTGAGCTACCACACCTACAGGCCCTGCCCATGTCATGTGACATCACTTTGCATGTCTGTGTGTTTGTACTGCGCTGTGTGTGGGTGGGGGTTATTACCCAGGCATGCGCCTGGTAACCTGGTGAACCAGTCTGCAATGTGGAAGCTCTTCCCGAACCGCATCTCTGTTTAAAAGGAGGTATAGCGCTCAATTTGTAAAAAGGCCTCTAATCCTCATAAGCTACCGATCCTCTCTGCAGGATCCGGCATAATCATTGCTGATCAACTATCGTCCTTCGTCCTGCACGCCGTGCAGACACAAGAGTGTTGTTGGAAAGTCTCACTCTCCTCTCTTAGCTGATGTCCATGTCAGTCCGCTCAGGGCTCTTAAGGTCTTCTGGGAAATGTAGTAAATCACGTATTGAGTGGAAGTATTTGAGGGAGTGGTGTAGACCCAAAAATAACTCCTTGAGTGCATTAAACCAGTGGTTCCCAACCTGGGGTTCGGGGCCCTCACAAGTGGTCACAATGTAAATGTAATGAGCTAATTTAACATGTTCAGGCCCCTGAATGTATTCAAATAAAACTGCCTGAGAAGTATGGATCATGTAAGTAGACGTTGGAGTATAATTACGTTTTTCTTTACAGCACTTATGTGCACTGTAGGAATAATTACAGGACAGTTATTTACTGATTCAGAGAATCCTGGATGTTGTGTAGATAATATGTGATTAGTTCGATAGGCTTCCTTACAGAAACCATTGGCAAACCCACTAATGAATTACAGACACATGAATGTAAGCCGGGGGGGGGCAGTACTGCAGCGGTATCATGCAAAGCTCCGGACTCATCTGCATACAGTACGTGAGCAGCGGCAGGCAGTTAAGTGGGAGTCTTTAATGAAAAGAAGCACAGAGAACACATGTTCACACCCACTGGAGTGTAATCTCATTGTGAAGTCTATCAGTGGAGATTCTACTGGCTGCAGTAAACAGATCACTGTGTGACTGTCGAGGATGATGAACTTCCTTTGATGAGAACAGATGAACAGAGAGCCCCGTTAGTCACACCGTCATGTTGTGGAATTGGAAAGGAGGAGGCCCGGACAACCGCTCGGGGGACAGATGGATTTAGCCGAGGCCTATAGCATGATTTTCCACCCCGGACCAGCTGCGTGTGACGGCGTGACACCAGGCGAGCTGTATGTTTCCTGTCGAAGGAAATCAAAAATGGCAACAATGTGAATTCATTTCCCCGTGTTGTCCTCTGCTCAACGTCCAATGTTAACATCAAAACTCTATTCTTGAACAGATTCGTGTGAACTCAGGAAGTTTCTAACCCGGCAGTGTACAGAATGTGTACCGCTCCTATCTATGTTCGCTCTGAACACACAAACTCTAGCTACAGAATGTCGTTGTTTTTGTTGCTGTTTTCCAGCTTTACCGTGACACGCGGGGCAAAATTAGGGCGTCAAATGCCAAACGGAAGCCTCATTCTGACGTCCCACTGTTTGAACGAGTCCTCCACATTCGTCACTTTGCCTCTAATGAAACACGCGGCAAAGTCACACGGAGCTGCCAAGAATTTCTGAACATTGTTCACACTGGTGGAATATAACCAGGAAACGCTATATATATTAATATAAATACATAAATATGGCAGCTCTCCATGTGTTTCTTAGCCGTGTTTCATTCATAGACGCATCAAACCTGGGAAAAAGCACCGGAGGCCTCTCACAAAGCTCAATATTGACACGGAAGAAGGTGAATCAGATGAGAAACTGTAAAAATTGGGGAGAGTAAAATTGGAATTTGGCGGCATTTCCTCCTATTCCCTGTGGAAATGACCCCACTGGCTGTAGAAAAATATAAGATAAGACAACCAATAAACTCACTATGCATGAGCAAAACAGGACGTGTAATGTGTGTTTATAGGAGCTGTGGGTAATGGGTAAGTGAAACTGTGAGAGTCATGCTACGCTGAGCTGACGGATGTGTCCACCTCTGCTGACCGTCACCCTGTGACGAATGGAGTTCACCCTCTTTTTAAACCCACCTAATTTGAATCACACATAATGCAATACATTCATAAAACATATAAATAGTTGTCTATATTGCTGGCTGTGTTCCCCATCATGGAGGTCACGCTTTGTCTACCTTTGTGGTTCCTATAAACTACTGTGATTACAGTGGTTTCACAACTTCATTCTCCTATGTCAGGGGTGTCCAAACCTTTTTCAAAGAGGGCCAGATTTGATAATGTGAAAATGCCCAAGGGCCAACAGTCCCTGCTGACATTATTTTAAACAATACAAGTAGCCTATACATACATTGTTATTTCATCATTTTATTTTCAATGACAGCAAATAGCAATGTAACCAAATGTAAGCATTCACGTGTGACCGGACTTTGGACATGCCTGGCCTAAACCTTAGTTGTTTCCTGTGAACATGGAAGTTTATTTTGAAAAGACAGTATGCATGTAACAAGCTGAAAACAGACTCATGTTGCTGGACTTTTGCAGGAAAAACGCACGAAAAGTGAGGAGTAATATTTCGTAAGATATCAATAAAACGGGGATGAATTTATATCATTGTGTAAAGAGAGTGACATGAGAAGATCAATCTCATGTCTGTAAGTTAAATCAGCTATAATCACTATTTTAAAGTGATTAGTGACTCGTCTAAAACATTTAAAAAAAGGAATAACTTCAATAGAATCATTCGATACACTGTAGCTTCTTTACATTGTATTAGAATGTAAAGAAGCTACATTCTAATACAATGTAAATAAGTTACAGTGTTGCCTTTTCTTTTCTTCCTACAAGAACGTAATTTTGTCAGGTTGATAAAAAAATGTCACTTTACTTCCTGACATTATTGTGACCTATGTGGACGTTAGGTTGCCATGTGTGGGTGTAATTTGCCGTCCGGCCAGCAGGTGGCGTGAGTTTACAAGAAGAATGCAGAGGGAGTAACTGTCCACTGACGTCTGAACCCTCCAAGTGACGCGCACATGCCAGCTTCATGTGAGCCAAAATCTGTTTAGTCTATAAAGTTCACTTTTTATTGTGTTGCCAGTACAACACATGATATAAATTAAATAATGCGTTTTGTTTCCACGTAGGCTAAAAAAAAACACATCTTTAAAAAAAGTAGTGTATCTATTTAATTAACCTTAGGCAACTTTTTAAAAAACTAAATAAGAATAGTAATGTTATGGTAAATAAGTTGGATAATAAACTTAAAGAAGTGATGATTTTATGACATCAGCTACCGAAATATAACAAGTATGAACTATGAATTAAATACAATTCATTATGAAGTATTCAACTATCCAAAGATAATAATAACACCAAGGTTTTCATGTAATTGATGATCACGTAACAAGTAACAACAGGTCGCTGTTGCCGTCCCTCGCGTGTGCCTTTGGTATTTTCGGGACCATCTTGTGACAGCCACAGCTTTAAGGATATTCACTCCCAGCCTGCGACGCCTAACCAACCGGAAGCGCGGATTGATTTCTCCATGGCACGCAAGGACAGCTAAAAAAAGAGAAGAAAATCAAAGGAGCGCTTATTAAGTGATAATCCATCAAGGATTTCACAAAAAGGGGGGCGAGGGTTTGAAATCTGAAATTGGCAGAGAGGATTATTCTTTCGGATATGGGATCTACCTTCAGGGTCCCCACCTGCTGGGCACCGTAATGGTGGTGAGTATCCAGGTCTTTGGAGAAAGGTCTGTCAGACCCGATGATGTAATATTTCATCTTCATTGACACACACCAACAGTTGGGTGGCGATATGTAGGTTAATAGTTCATATAGTATTATGGTTTTAATGCGAATTGAGTGCAAAACGAACGGCGTTTAAGGGGGTTAAATAGTACGTCTTGTCGAGGTGATCTTTGATGTTTCTCCGCTAATTGCGCGCGTGACAGACACACACAGCAGCTGTGTATCAGGTATATTTAAGAGGTTTTTCCTCCATTAAACATCCAAATAACCCCCCAAAAAAATGTAGTATTTACTTTACAGAGGCGACAATCTCGCTGGTGGTGTTTTTAATAGGCTAATTATGGACTGCAAATGTCCCTTCATTTTCCAAACGAAAGAAAATGGAACGACAAATAACCGCAACGACGTGACAAACAAAATGGGCTTCAAATGTACGTGCTGGATGGAGGGAATAGCTCCAGGCCTATGTCTCCTATATTCATAACATGCGAAGCACAAAGGGACATCATTCACAAAGGTTTTACATATTCAACCACCGAGCCAGGTGTAGAATATTTCTATTTTTAGAAAAACCAGTTGCTCACAAGCAAGCAATAGACGCATCTGGCGAGGACACGCCCAGACTCATTCAAGGGTTCACGGTGGGACTTGTTGAAGCCCAATGCATTTGTAGTTATTACATTTTTCACATTTGATAACATTTTTGACCATAGAGGCGCTCACGTTGCTTCAGTAGGCCTGTCTGATTGTGTTAAAGTATATGGAATATGGGAAGTGAGGCGGAAACGAGTGCAGCACAATAGGAAAGTAGTTCGTTCAAAGTGCTCTTGGTGTTTGATAGGTGCAATTTCAACCACAGTCTAGGACCCAAAATTTGGCCCCCGGACCTCAGTTTGGGTACCGGGGATTGATGGGTAGCATCGACAGCCTCAACCTCGGTCGCTCGCGCTCACCGGTGTCTGTGGGGTTTGTTTGTTCCGCTCCTGGGTGTCGCGTGGTGCTGCCGGTGAGCTATCTGGAGGATAGTGTGTGTGTGTGTGTGTGTGTGTGTGTGTGTGTGTGTGGGGGGGGGGGGGGAGAAGAGGAAGACATGACGGACGCTTCTTAACTCACTTTTGTGGCAAAAACCAACAAGTGTCGTTTTTTTTTCCGGGAGCCACCAGCAACATGGCGACGGTCTCCTCGGCTCGTTCTGATAATTGAGGTAACGTCCGACAGCTGTCGACTCTTTATCCCCGATTTATTTATTTTGAATTAGCATTATAAGCTCCTTAGCTACACACTGTCACGTCGGCTTCTAAATGTAGCCGTTCATTGTTAGTAGCGTTACAAATGTTACATTTTAGCTCAATGCACCGGAGATGAAAGAAAAGGCTTTACGGTGACGGTAAACCCGCTAATGTGAATGCATATTAAATACATATCGTTGTTAAATACATTTAAAATGTCTCATGGGAATATCAGGTAGGTTTCCATTCGTCTGCCCCCCCCATCTTCTTCTCAGCACCATGGACAGCAGCGCCCTTTTGACACCATGTCAGCTACAATTGTAGCAGTTCGGATGAAATGTGGGCAACTCCGGTAGATTTAGAGAGTCTCTCTGGAGAACACTCCGGAGAGACCGTGTTTGTTGTTGTTGTTGTTGTCCTGGTACGCCGAGGCAGGTTTCCACTCCTTGTTTTGTTCTCTAGAGGCAGCTGCTGTGGACAGTGAAACATCTGTCCGTGGAGGAAAGAGAGAGCTTGTGATATGTGGACTTGTTGTCTTAGGACTCTTAAAGGACAGGTTGAGAGAGGCGTCGATATAGAAACTGTTCCAGCTATTAGAAATCAATACTGCGGTAAATTAAAGGTCTGTTAGCAACAATGTCCGTGTGCAAAAACCCCTTGAAATGTCTGAGATTCCTTTGACCACGCTGATAGCCGAGCTCAGAGACACGGGTGTGGATGTTGGGCCTATGGGCTCCATCAGGACTCACAACCCCCCCTCCACCACCACCGCCACCGCCACCACCCAGCCGCAGACAACCTATCAGGCCACCCATCATACCACTGGGTCCCGGGGCAGTCGTTGAGACACAAGCAGATGTGTTTCCTGAGATGCCTCAATGGGAGAAGCTGCAATTAATTCACAGTTCACGCCTGATGTATTCTTAGAAACACACAAGATTTGCCGGCTACGGTGGCTTTCTAATGAGCCTCCACTTCGGTTTTAATGGATTCTATGATTGGCTGAGTTTATGAGCCATGCCACACATTTATTGTCTTTTCTCATCAGGAAATTGTTCAAATAAAATGTTCTATCTTGTGTGTTATGGCTGAAAAATACATGGTCGTTTTGAGGAGGAAAAAGGCTTGCGATAGTGTTTACAGTTTGTAATAATTACAGTCATCTGGCCATTTATTAGCCAGGAGATGGTTAGCTTGGATTAGCATAAAGACTGGAAACGGGGGTAAACGGCTATCTTGTCTGTAACGTGTTGATTAGTGAGCTTCAGAGGTGTTGGTAGTAGGAGTATTTTTCGCTCCACTGCCATCAGTGGTGAGGCCATATTGGTTAAATGAACTAAAAGCTGACTCCAGACTCTACCCTTGAGCCGCTTGCTACCCCGTCGCGGACTGAATGTCAAAATAGTCTCTGGCGCTAGCCCTGCTTTTTAAAAATGGAAAGAAAAACAGGTTGCAGGGCGCTCTCTGTTCCTCCATTTCCCTTTGGTGAAGGGAAGACTCTCGGAGACGTCACTTTAGAGACTGTCAGAGGGGCAGGCTCCATGTTTCTGGGCCAGGACAGCGTCCCCGCCTGGAACAAGACCCGCCTTGGAGGCTGATAACGGCTCACGTCTCCAGAGGTTTTTTGGGGGAAGATCTTGTTTGTGTGCCTTCCCACTATTCCCCTCTGGACCGTGATGGGCCTCTGGGCGTGAAGGGTGATGGATGGTTTACAGGGGGGGAAATCGATAAATCCTGTAAACTACATTTGTTTCTATTGTGAAAACAGTTCATTCTTTTCTAATTTGATGCCATCAATTAAATAATTACGCCATTAAAGGACAGGCAGACAAACCCAGTTTGTTACATTCTCGTCTCCTCTCTCGCTGCAGCCCCCTGCCCCAGCTGAGCCCCTCGATGCCCTCTGAAGGAGCAGGATGACAAGATGGCACAGCTGCTTGTACCGCCCGGACCTGACAGCTTCTGCCCCTTCGGCCCCGAGTCGCTGGCCGCCATCGAGAGGCGCATCGCCGAGGAGGAGGCCCGGAGACCGCGGGCGGAGCGCCGCGTCGACAGCGACGACGAAAATGGGCCCCGGCCCAACAGCGACCTGGAGGCGGGGAAGTCCCTCCCCTTCATCTACGGGGACACCCCTCCCAGCCTGGTGTCCACCCCTCTGGAGGACCTGGACACCTTCTACAGCAATCAGAAGGTCTGTTACTGACTCACTAAAGTAATCATTTCAAGTCAATCTCGCGGATGAGCGGGTAACTTTAAGGCATGTTTTTGACTGTTCTGGCTTTGAAGCGTCACCATTATGTCTACTGATTGAGCTTTCAATCGGAGCGTGACTCAAGCAGTGAATGTGGAACGTTACAGGTCTGTACGCTCTTAACAAACTATTTTAAGGAAACTAATGGGCAGATGTAGCAATTTTCCCCAGCTGAGGAAAGAAAGGTAACTGCTGAACTTCAGAACAATGTTTTCAAAGGCAGCACACTAATTATTCAAGCAAATTGGCAACGTATTTTAATTTGGTATTTCAGCAGGCGAGAGTCAAAACACCGGTCCAGCAGTAACGTGCTCAGCCAAATTCAGAGCGGCGGGCCAACAGAGGTGCTAAACGCTAACCCGAGCTGCTGCGTCAGTGCCAACATGGACTCATCCAGCTCCATTATAATAACAGCCAGCTTAGTCCTCTGTGCTCTTATGACTCGTCACACATGGCAGGACGCATGCAGGTTGACGGGAGCTGCTTATCTCATACGGTGGGCTTTGTCTGATGCCGATTTTAACACGTCTTTTGTTCTGCCTCTCTTTCAGACCTTCATAGTATTGAATCGCGGGAAGACAATCTTCCGTTTCAACGCCACTCCTGCCTTGTACATCCTAAGCCCCTTCAACCCTCTAAGGAGGGTAGCTATTAGAGTTTTAGTACACTCATATCCTTTCAGAGTTTGCTACGGACACAGCTTGATTTGGATTAAAGGGTTGCTCTGACAAAGGAGGGATTTTAGTGATGAAGAACATTAAATGTCGTGATTGGTTTAGATTCTCTATGCAGACACGCATCCGGCTTTTTTTACAAGACATTTTAGATCACGGATGTGTTCTTTAATTATTCTCACTGTAGCCGTAATGGAGGGGGAAGTGTTCGCTCTGACTTTAATTCATAGCATGCAGAAGATTAATGCTCCATTGTGCTCCTTGACTTTGTCTCCACGATGTTCAGCATGTTGATCATGTTCACCATCCTGACCAACTGTGCTTTCATGACCCTCAGTAACCCCCCGGAGTGGGCCAAGAATGTAGAGTAAGTGTGCATTTTCTCTTATTATGCTGTGGTTTTACTATGAAATATGCATTTATTTTCCCTTTGAGTCTGATTCAGAAACAGCTGGAGGGATCCTTAATATATCCTTGATATAATATTCATACCGAGTATGGCGTGAAATTGAGTTCGTAGAGCGTTCCAGCTGCATAGTATGAGGAGACATGAGCTTAAACATACCCAACTGCCCCAGAATGCATTGCATCTCTTCAGACCATCCAGTGGCGGACTACTAGATTCTTACACAGATATTTGCCTTGTCGTGAAAACATGAGAACATACTGGCAAAAAATACAACAATTTTAAACGTTACAAGGAATGTAATTATGCACACACATGTAGGTGCAAGGCTATCTAAAATCAATACACACTGCAGCAGATATGAGCGACAATGTAATGACCAAGAAAATGGTTGACGAATGAGATTAGAATCCAGTACACGGAGACGTTACCCAACGTGGTTATTCCTCTCACCAGGTACACATTCACAGGGATTTACACCTTCGAGTCCCTCATAAAGATCCTGGCCAGGGGCTTCTGCGTGGGCAAGTTCACCTTCCTGCGGGACCCGTGGAACTGGCTGGATTTCAGCGTTATCCTCATGGCGTAAGTATTGCGACAAGCGTCGTTAGCGTCAGTTTAGCATGATCCGGCGTAGATTGAGAGGCCAAATGCTTTTCATGCTATTCAGTCTTACTGAACGTGAGACGGAGTGAAGAGGGGCCTGGTAATCTGCAGCTTAGTTAAGAAATCACGGAGAGAGATCTCTACTGAACTCTGTCGTAATGGATGTGAGCCCCTAAAGTGTCTCGGCCCGTATTTGTCCCACGCCTCGATGACTACAACTGCTTGTCTTGAAGCTACTAAATAAAGCCTTCAGCATTAGGTTACTCTCTGAATGTATTGTATTATAGGATTTTATGCTTCGGTCAAGGTTTTGGGCGATACAGAGGGGTTTATATCATCCATAGCCTGATTTATACAACAGTATTATTAAAAAAAACATGTTGCAAATTGCTTTTTTTATGGCTCTTGACAATATTTTGTAATTTATGGAGTGATAAAAAGAGATGTCTTAAATTCCCTCTGTAAAAACCTTTGACTACAAACTGAAACAAGAATTTTGAAGCTGGCTTTATCCAATGCTTCGATATCTGTCCTGGCAATGTCTGCAAAACTAGCCCCATATTTAATGAGACAATATTTCAAACGTCTCAGAGAGCTTCAGGAAGTTGATCTCCTGTGTGTTGCTGTGTTGTAACTGTGCATTTGATCCTGCAGGTATGTAACAGAGTTTGTACACCTAGGCAATGTTTCAGCTCTGCGCACGTTCAGAGTATTGCGAGCTTTGAAAACTATCTCAGTGATACCAGGTAAGGCTGCCCCGCGCCTGCCTCCAGCACTCCTGCCATTTGTCTTCTGTGCGTGACCGTTTGTCGTTCCCTCCTCCCCCCCCCCCCACCCCCCCTCCCTCCCCACGACCCACCTTTTGTCTTTGTCACGCCATGTGTGTGTGTGTGTGTGTGTGTGGTGCCTGGTTTGTGTGCGCGTGGGCATATGTGCGTGCGTGTCCCACACCTTTTCCCGAATTGCCCCTCCCTCTCCCTCCTCCCCTCCCCCCCTTCCCTTACAGATATGTCACAGAGTTTGTGGACCTGGGCAATGTCTCAGCGCTGCGAACCTTCAGGGTTCTGCGAGCCTTGAAAACTATATCAGTCATCCCAGGTGAGAGAGCCATCACGGCCCCGTAGGGTTAATGAAATGCTAACGGCTAACTGGCGTTTCGCTAACATCCAAGCACACCCCTCACCCCCCCTCCCCTCTCAGCTCATCTCACCGTAGCTAAGCCTGACGACGCCCATCGCCGTCCCTCATGCTGCCTTCGTCCCAAGGCCAGTAAAAGCTGGAATCCGGATCTAATCTGCAAAGATTGACAGGATTCTGAGCTTTTAGATGCTTCCTTTAAGGCGGAATTCCTTTTGGTTGAAATCTATTCTTGCCTTGGGAGACTTACAAGTAGATTTTGTGCACTATTTGCTTGGTTTCTTTTTCCTATTTTTGCATGAGACATTGCAAAAGCCGATCTTCTGGTGGCAAGCACTCCCGTGCGCGCAGGGTTCCTCCTTACCTTGTTTTTTCCCCGTGCATGTCCTGTTCAATGTTGTGTGTTCTTGGGGAAATTGTGACATGATGAATGGTGGTTTGGGTATTCTAAACACTAACACTATTCACATCACAAACTAACAAGAAGGGGTCATATGTAAACCTTGTCATTGGCCCTCAGTATGAAGTAGACCCTCTAACTCCACAACACACGCTACCTATTCTAGCTTCAAACATTTTTGGGCTCTGTTTATGTGGCAGTGCAAAGCGGTGCTAGCACATGTTGCTATTTGTTTTGTGAGGAGCTTTTGAGGTTCCAAAGCAGCAATGTGACTAGTTGAGAGGCTTATGACTCATCACCACAATCACCCTCCAGCATATTAACCACTTCACTCAACCCTCTTGTGCACAGCGCCATCTCAATATGGATAAAAAGAACGTGCGCTAGGATACGTCCTCGTCCACCTTGTGCATACGACGTAGACCTGCGCGCCGGGCTTTGCGACTGCACTGCAAAAAGAGCTCAACGTTAACGCTCTCAGGGGCATTTTAACCAGATACAACAGCACAAATGTATATCATATTACAACACATTGTTTATTAAGGATCACTCTCACATAGAGCTACAGAGGGAATGAGAAACGTAACTTTCTCTCGTGGTTTACCCTCGATCAGCAGTGATCCGTGTCAGCCTGGTTCCTGTATGACAGCACTGCACTTCATACAGGAACCTCCACTGCAGATCCCCCTGGCTGCTTGCTGCTGTGAGCTCCTATTAGCAGCTCCTTCTCTACACAAGCCTGTGGCTGTAATTATCACTCTGCCATGTCCCCCTCTCCTCCCGCCCCCTCGCCCTCTCTCCCCGTCCAGGCTTGAAGACCATCGTCGGCGCGCTGATCCAGTCGGTGAAGAAGCTGTCGGACGTCATGATCCTCACCGTCTTCTGCCTCAGCGTCTTCGCCCTCATCGGCCTGCAGCTCTTCATGGGCAACCTGAGGCAGAAGTGCGTGCGCATGCCGTTTGCCGTCAACGCCACCAACGGCAGCAGCAACGCCACCGCCGACGACGCCGCGCTCTTCAACGGCACCCTGCTGGACCTCAGCGGCGCGTTCGAGCAGAACGACACGGAGAGCCCCTTCAACTGGACGGAGTACATCAACGACGACAGTAAGCCGAGTGAGGCGGGGTTAACCGGGGTCAACTTAGTTTCCGCCCCCCCCAGACGGTCAGAGTCAGATACGGGCTGCTTCCTATGCGGAGACGGGTCCGGGTGGGGGAGGTCAGGCACCGCTGGCCCACTGCCGTGATAAGGAGTGACAGCAATGGCTGGTGGGAGAATGCAGCAAATGTGGCGGATAATCCGCCACAACAATAAAAAAACAAAAAACTAGACTTTCACCCCCTCGCTACCTTTCGTCATTCTCCCATAACCCATCTGTGTGGCACGAGCGGCCTAAAGCGCCGGAGGAGGGCGAGTCACTGACTGCCAGCTGGAGATATGGAGGAGACCGACCAGCTGAATCCAAGAGCGAGAGACGACAGAGATTATTATAGTCGCGTAGACGTCATGACGTCCGGCGACTTCATTGCGTCAGTGATGTTTGCCTCTAAAACAGGCTGATGCGATTTAGTGACGGTTGAGGAACGACACACACACACACACACAGAAAACCAACATGACTAATATGTTTGGGTGTTAAAACCACCTCCCTCTTCGTCTCCCAGCCAGTGTACATCATCACAGGCTGCACAGTGTCTTTCCGTGTCTGTTTCCTCACGTCCTCTGCTTCACCCCCGTGTCCTGGCACTGACTGACCCGTCCCTCTGTCTCCTCCCCCCTATCTCCCCTCTAGGGAATTACTATTTCCTCCCGGGCCGTCGGGACGCTCTGCTCTGTGGGAACGGCAGCGGCGCTGGGTAAGGCCTCCGCCTGTTTAATTCATATGGCCCATTAGACGCACCGCAGACGCAGTTAGCGTCGACATTAGCATCGACATTATTCGATGCGTTTTGGCAAATGTTGAAAGTCCATCCTCTGCGCTAATGTTGCTGAGCGAAGCTTATTGATTTAAGTTATTTTCTGAGACGGCTGAAAGATACTTATTTCGGTGTAATCGGCAGCTGTAGTGAATTCAAGGCCAGACTTGTCTTTCATTTTTGAAGACTTTTTGGCCTAAAGAAGTCTATTGAATTAGAAGCACAAAAAAGTCTGGCTGCGTGTAAACTCCTTCAGGTCCTTAGAAGCTTTCAAACCCCTGATTAAGGAAGGTTTGCATCCTAAATGCTCCTTTAAGAAGCAGGACGTCCCAGGATTTCATTTGATCAATTATTCAGTATTTGTCTCGTCAGTCTGATTCAACAGGAAGTTCCATAATAGATGTCTGAGTGCCTTACATAATGTTAAATGTTCTTAGATGGCATTGTGTCAAGAGGAACCAGCAGTGTTGTATATGAACATTTAAGAAAAAACCTGCTCTTATCTGTTACGCACAAAATTAAATGCAAAAACCACAAGTGAAGAGGTAGTGAGGTAGTGAATATGAGTGTTCTGATACTTGCATGTTAAAATACTCCTCAATGCAACGTGCTGTCCCGACAGGCTCTGTCCAGAGGGCTTCTCGTGTATCAAAGCCGGCCGCAATCCAGACTACGACTACACCAGCTTCGACTCGTTCAGCTGGGCGTTCCTCTCCCTGTTCCGACTCATGACCCAGGACTTCTGGGAAAACCTCTACCAGCAGGTCAGAGGAAGTCGTTTCTCATCGTTATAGAGACCAGAATTCGTTGTTTGGTTTATTCCGTGTGAGAAAACAATCTTGTTTTGTCAGTTTAAAACCCAAAGAGATTCAGTTTAATGCAGTACAATGCGTAAACTTGACATCTGCAAAGTCACCAGACAATGGGATGACTGAAACAAACGGAGCACCGTACGGTACAGTGTTTTTAAAATAAATCTCTGTCCGTCAGACTTTGCGCGCGGCAGGGAAGCCCTACATGCTCTTCTTCGTGCTGGTGATCTTCCTGGGCTCCTTCTACCTGGTCAACCTGATCCTGGCCGTGGTGGCCATGGCTTACGACGAACAGAACCAGGCGACCATCGAGGAGGCTCTGCAGAAGGAGGAGGAGTTCCAGGCCATGCTGGAGCAGCTGAAGAGACAGCAGGAGGAGGCGCAGGTAGGACATTCGTTCTTTGTCTGTTCAAACTCGTGTCCAATTCGTTAGAGGGATTGATGAGTGATGAATGATGGGGGTCCATGGAGAAGTAGTGATGTTTTAAGCTGCTAAAGCACATAAAATAGTATTTAAGAACATAGACGAGTGGCTGTGAGAATCTGGCGAGACTCTTGGGCTTAAAGTGCCCAGCTGCCAAAAGCAGCACTGCCCCGGGCGACCGAGGGGGATTCACTGTCCAGGACTGACTGACACCCCCCCACTGCTGCCCCCTCAGGGGTCAGGGGTGCTTGGTCGACCTTCAGAAGGAACAATTAGCAGCTGGACACTGAGTGCAAGTGAAATGCCGGATAATGGGAATGGAAATAAGCAGTTATTTCAGAAGCTTGTGACGACAAAGCCAGATGGATGAACAACTGACAGAATCAGCTAAAAGTAGTAGAGCTGAGATAGATGGCATCCTCTTTCAAATCCTGTTGAACACATCTGGGACAGAAGTGGAAGTGTTGAGCTCATGTGATGAGGATGGGGTGGGGGTGGTGAGGAACCCTAAAAAGGTCCGGAACCACTGCTTCGCCACCTCCTACAAAGGCCGTTCAGCCAGGTTTAAAAGTGTCTTATCAGGCTTGTGCACATTCACATGTTGTTGGTTGTGCTGTAGTCGCCGTGACTGACTCTGAAGTCCTCGTGCTGCAGGGATGAGTCCTACAATCAGGCATTCAGTCAGCATTTTTACACTTCCGGTTCCCTCGTCGCAAAGTCAATTTACTTAAATTATAAAGGGGATGTTCTTCAAAAAGGTGTTTCATTCATATCACTTTTATCTTTTTTTATTTCTATCTTGCTGAACTTGTGTTTTGCCACAGAGAGCTTTTCTTCTGCAGTAATTCGGCTTTTTGTCGAGGGAACAGTTCTGATGCTAGTTAAGGGTTGGCCTTCAAATCACGTCGAAAGCACCAGATTTAACCCGCTAACGTCCCCCAAACATAGCCCCCCAAAAGCATTTCATGAAGACAACACATGAGAGCAGTGCACACGGTAGTCAATCATGTGAGGAAAGATGCATAAAATCTGTGCCTCTCATGTTGTTTCCCTAAGCAGCGATTTGAACAATGCTGCTAAGAGAAGAATTTCCTACTTGTTTTATCACGCATAAAGGCTGGAAGCTAACCCAGCATCCACACAGTGCTTCTCTTCCTCTGGTTATTATAAATGCAGGAACTCTGTTTTGGTTTTGCATTAAAAACATTCAAGCGTCCATTTTTAGAAGGTGTCTGAGGCTTATTGGGCTCCACATGCTGCTGCTCCTCTCTCCTCCGCGCGAGAGCCTTTGAGACAGGTGCCGGGGTCGCCATGACAACTGTGCTTGCGCTCTGATTGGCTGGCAGGTTGCCGCGGCAGCAGCCACGGAGAGCGGGGAGTACAGCGGGAGAGGGGGCCCCACCTCTGAGTCGTCCTCGGGGACGTCGAAGCTCAGCTCCAAAAGTGCCAAGGAGCGACGCAACAGGCGGAAGAAGAGGAGGCAGAGGGAGGAGGAGGAGGAGAGGGGGGGCCGCGACAAGTTCCACAAGTCTGAGTCCGAAGACAGCATCAAGAGGACCAGCTTCCGCTTCTCCATCGATGCCAACAGGCTCTCTTATGAGAAGAGATGCTCCTCGCCCAACCAGGTAAACACTGACGAATAAGAGTGTTTCCTGGTAAATGACACACAACACGTGATATCAATGAAAAGGTTAAAGGTTGGGCTGCACCAGCAAGGATCGATTTGATCTAAGATCAGTTCTAAGCGGAGCAAGGTTTAAAATGCGTAAATCCAGGTTTAGAATTCAGCAGTGCTCTGTATTCCATAACAAAACATTATATTGTTTGCTAGCTAGCGAGTCAGTTAGTTAGCCTAATGTTACCCAGGATGAAGCCCTAATTTCTCCTCCTTTTGAGAAAAACCTTTTGGCCATATTGTTGCCTTTACGCTGAACCAGGCTAGCTGTTTCCCCTTGCTTCCAGTCTTTATGCTAAGCTAAGATGGTTGCGGCATCGTAACATAAGAGTGACATCAATCTTTTTCTCCATCAGTCTCTGCTCAGTATCCGCGGATCCCTCTTCTCACCCCGGAGGAACAGCCGCGCCAGCCTGTTCAGCTTCCACGGCCGGGCGCGCGACATGGGCTCCGAGAACGACTTTGCCGACGACGAGCACAGCACCTTCGAGGAGAACGACAGCCGCCGGGGCTCCCTGTTCCTGCCGCGCCGCCTCGAGCGCCGCTGCAGCGCCGTCAGCCAGATCAGCCTCGGGGCGCCGCGGATCGTGCTGCCTGCCAACGGCAAGATGCACTGCGCCGTGGACTGCAATGGCGTGGTGTCTCTGGTCGGTGGGACTTCTGTAACAACCTCCCCTGTAGGTCTCCTGCTGCCTGAGGTGACGCAACTGATTGTTCAATGCTTTATTTTCCCGTTGATCTTCCTTTCTGCTAAATATTGCCAGAATATCTTGGCACAAATGTGTTTTTTTTTCAGGGTACAACTACAGATACTGAGTTCAAGAAGCGGCGGCCAGGCTTTCGCAAGCCATCCATGGATTATCTAGATGAACCGGTGGGGCGGCAGAGAGCCATGAGCGTGGCCAGTATCCTCACCAACACCATGGAAGGTCAGGATCAGGCCATGTATCGGTGGCATGAGTCTTTCTCGTCTTATTTGCATGCCATTACCTCCTAGTTTTGCAGCAAAGGGGACAGCATGAATGCATAATTAATTAGTCATTATAATTTAGCATGTTCGTCTCTCGTTTTTCCAGAGCTGGAAGAGTCGAGACAGAAATGCCCCCCTTGCTGGTACAGGTTCGCCAACACCTCCCTGATCTGGGACTGCTGCCCCGCGTGGCTGAAAATCAAGGACATCGTCAGCACGGTGGTCATGGACCCGTTTGTGGATCTGGCCATCACAATATGCATCGTTCTCAACACCCTGTTCATGGCCATGGAGCACTACCCCATGACTAAGGAATTCAACAGCATACTCTCAGTTGGAAACCTGGCAAGTAGCGCGTGCCACGCTTACAAACTCTCTGGTGGACAAGAGCAGAAAAAAACAAACACGTGAAATTTGAATTTCTCCCTCTTTTGTCTTCAGGTGTTCACCGGCATCTTCACGGCCGAGATGTGCTTCAAGATCATCGCCATGGATCCCTACTACTACTTCCAGGAGGGCTGGAACATCTTCGACGGCATCATTGTCAGCCTGAGCCTGATGGAGCTCGGCTTGGCCAACGTGGAGGGCCTGTCTGTGCTCCGGTCCTTCAGATTGGTAAGAGTGATGCGTCTCGTCACAAAAGCTGCGTCAACGTGATTCATCCGTTTCTTCATCTATTGAATGGAAATCATCTCGAAAGTCATCACAGGGTAGCTTTTAATTTAAATTTTTCATTTTCATAGCTGAGGGTCTTCAAGCTAGCCAAGTCATGGCCCACTCTGAACATGCTGATCAAGATCATCGGGAACTCTGTGGGGGCTTTGGGGAACTTGACCCTGGTGCTGGCCATCATCGTCTTCATCTTCGCCGTGGTCGGCATGCAGCTGTTTGGAAAGAGCTACAAGGAGTGCGTGTGCAAGATTTCCGACGATTGCAAGCTGCCGCGCTGGCACATGCACGACTTCTTCCACTCCTTCCTCATCGTGTTCCGGGTGCTGTGCGGGGAGTGGATCGAGACCATGTGGGACTGCATGGAGGTGGCTGGGCAGTCCATGTGCCTCATAGTCTTCATGATGGTCATGGTCATTGGAAACCTGGTGGTATGGGGTTTTCCCTCTTTATCTCCTTTCTGTAATCTAATATAATATAATAAGTTTATGGCAATGGTTTGCTTTAAATTAAAGCCAAGTCGCTCTGTTTACAAGTAATAGGGTCAAGTGTAATTCACTTTGCATCCACTTCTCCCCAGGTCTTGAACCTGTTCCTGGCTCTCCTCCTGAGCTCATTCAGCGCTGACAACCTGGCAGCGACCGACGACGACAGCGAGATGAACAACCTGCAGATCGCTGTGGGCCGGATCCAGCGGGGCATCGCGTTCGTCAAATCCACAGTCCGGCAGTTCCTCCAGAGCCTCTGCTTTGGCGGCGGCGGCGGCAAAAAGGGCTCCGGTCTGGCGGAGGAGATTAAACCGCTGGACGAACTGCACAGCAACGGCAAGGGCAACTGCATCTCCAACCACACGTCGATGGAGATCACCAAAGACCCCAGTGTGGTGTACATGACAGAGGGCAACGGACGGCCAGGAGGGGGGCTGGTGGTAGGGGTCGGGGTCGGGGTTGGCGGGGACACCGCGGGGAAGTACCCGGTGGATGAGTGCGACTACATGTCATTTATTCACAACCCCAGCCTGACAGTCACCGTGCCCATCGCGGTGGGAGAGTCGGACTTCGAGAACCTGAACACGGAAGATTTCAGCAGCGACTCGTCGGACGTGGAGGGCAGCAAAGAGGTAAGATGGAAGACTCTGGAGAGACGTCTCCGTCAGTCTGTAGGAAATCTCTTGAGTCACACAGCTTTTGTATCTGATTAGCTCCTTTTATATGTGCAATAGCTAACACCCGATGCGAGCCAGTCGATGTCTACATTTGCATAGAGATGGCCTTTCTAGAACAGTTTCCAACAGTCAAGCAGTTTAAAAATAACATACCTGCTGACTCATTTGTACATGCATGATTCATGCTGTGCTGCCGAGGGAATCTTCTGAGTCTTCACTCTGCCTGGCAGCAGAAGAAAGAGCCATGACGAATAATGACTCAGATTTGCCTTTGACCAATGTAGCAGGTTCATTAGTCTATTTGTGTACAATGTTACACGGTTGAGGGACTACTTTGTTACTCGCTCCACGCTTCAGGCAAAGGCATAAGATGAAATTAATGATGCAGCAAACCACGATGTAAATAAAGCTAAATACGCTATTGGCACAGACGATTTTTTTTGTAATTCATCGGCTATTCTAACGAAGCCAATGGCAGGGTTGCTGTTAAGTGTTGCCAGGCTGACAGTGAGCATTGGGACTGTGCTCCCTGGCGATGTCAACCTGCCACTGTGGGTGTGGTGCCGACTCCCGGAGTTTCAAAACCACCCAGGGGACTATTTCTAGCCACGGCACCACATGTTCTACACACGGACGAGGGCTGTCCTCCACCAAAAACAATCTTCATAAAGAATCACACGAAAGTTGGAATCTGTGTATCCCTAGGAGTAAATAATAATGTATGCATTTCAAGTTACACAATGAACATTTGGTGTGTGTTTGAGTATAAAAACAGTTTTGCGTCTCTTAAGGAAGATGCTTTCAGGGAGACTGTTGTTCTCAGTGGGAGCAGACTTTGAGGTTGTATGCTGGCTTTCTGGTGTCTTTGACTTACTTTGTTTAACCCCCCGTTTGTTATTGCAGCCGTGTCACAGACGCTCTCAAGGTTTTCATTGAGAGGAGAATTGTAAGACCACTTTATTGTACCATAGCACTAACCATGAGGACTGCCTATGCCATTTACAGACAAACATCTTTTTTCTCATACCTTCAATGGATTGCCCATTTTCGTTCTTTGCCTGGTCTGCCCTCCGTCCCCCTTGCCCCCCTCCCTTACCCCACCCTCTTTGTTTTATACCCCCTCCTACCCCATACAGCAACACACTCAATGCTGTAATCTTTGTCCCATAACCCCCCCTTCATAACTTATCTCCAAGCATCAGGCTGCAGTTACAAACCATTAGGAATGAGCAACACCACCTTTATCCCATCGATAGATAAACTCATCTAACATGATCTTTGCTTTTGATTTCATTGCTTGGTTTTTGGGACTTGATTGGCATCCAACACTCCGAGCTTGAGAATGAAGGAAGAGAGGAAGAAGAGAATGAGGAGGGGGAAAAAAGAGAGAGAGAGAGATGGAAGGAATTTTGCCGAAGTTTGACAAAATTCATTTGTCCGGTTCATAGCCGACGCATACACACATGGAATACTTGTACGTACTTGTTTTCTGTGGCGCTCAAACAATAGTGGAATGATGAAAGATCCTTCACAGAATTCAACGCTGATTTTTGCAGGGTGGCAAAACAGATAACACATGGCAGTGTGAACTGAATCAGACTTGTGAAGACTAAATGAAGGTAACTTCTTCTTGTCTTTTCCGCCCCAAATATGAGATGAAGAAACACCATCCCAAATTACTTTTAACCCTAACCAGAAGCCGTTTTTTTTCCATTCAGTTGTCAAGCGAATTTTAAGCAAACTTTTAAAATATCGCAAAAATTTAAATTTTTATCCGCCAGTAAACAAATTGGTTGCCTTGGCCATCTGGTCATAACTGTCCCATCTATGAGATGGGATTTGTTTTAATTGTTCTTTCATGTCAGCTAATATTAGCCGTGTCTGGAGACAGACAATTTAAATATGTATCTGAGAAGAGGCCGACATAGGAAAGCTACATCGCAACTAAAGCAAGCGCAAAAATCTTTTGTCGCATTTGAGGAAGTTCTATCGGAATTTTTCCGTTTTCATACAGCTTTTCTGGTGCAATGCTTCAAAATCTGTGAATGGAAACACGGCTAGAGATGGTACACGTAAACAATTCTGGTGGATTAGTGTGTGCTTTCCATGCTTGTGTTATCCACTTTCGTTCCACTGCAACTATCTCGTCACCCAACTTGTACAAAGACAGTAAAAGTTTGCGAACAAAATCTGCCAAATAAAAAGTTAGGGTGAGAGTAAAAGCCTCATGTAATCCACGCCCAGAAGAGCTAAAATGGGTGTCTTGCTGAAGGCGAGAAAGAGAAACCGGAGGGGGACACAGCCCCCCCCAGAAAGTGATGCACTTGCGAGCAGCATGCTTCCATCTTTCCCATGCCGTATTAGCTGGGTCCCACGGCAATCAGAGCTGCTGCACTGTCTAGGATGACATGTTCTTGAACTTCACACGCCAGACAGATCCGACATGAGGCCACATAACACCATGTTTGCCCAAAGAAAAACAGACAGGAAGCCTCACAACACCAAAAAAGTCTCACCATATATGCAGATGATGCTGTAATGTACATATACACAAATATCACTGCATTTTAGGGTTTCAGAGGAGCGTTGCCAGGGTTAAAAATTGAGAGTTGGCAAGGAAGTTGACAACAGCAGCAACTTGTCCTTCCATGCATTGCATATTGCTGAGAAGAAGGACAAATATCGTTGACTACCAGACTTAGTCCTGTATGTTTTCTGGGTGCTAATTCAACATGTTTTATAAATGGGAACAAAAAAACCAATACGCCAGACCACATGCTGTCTGATAAACAGTGCACAGTACTGGTTTTTGCTGGTAAGCTAATGTGGTTATCCGTCTACTTCAACACAAACAGAAGAAGCTTGTACACTGCTTTCAAGGAATGGAAATAACGTGTTTTCATGTCACTCGGGAAAATGTTCAGCAGTCCTTCTGTTTGGGGGATTCTAGCTTCGAGGGCGGGGAATTGTTAATTGCGGAAGCAATTTTGGAAATGGGATAAATTGTAGACAGATTGATTTGGAGTCATTTTTCAGTGGACATGAAAATACTTCAGCACACGTTCTGCTTGGTACTATTTCAGGCTTGGATTGATAATGCACTGGAATACTGCATGCACTCCTCCTCGAACTGAGGTCACATCAAACGTACCCACAGTGCATTTCCGTAATGCCAACCTCCACATGCCATGTGTTGCCACATAATCTGATTTAAGCCATCAGGCAAAACTAATATCAAAGCCTGTAGGTACATTTGATCGATGCTGCATGTGATGATGACAAAACAATGACTTTTAAGAGCCCAACTCTGTGAGCTATTACAGTGCCTAGTCTCCACACTAAGGTGTGTATATAGTTGTGGCACTGGAGTACATGTGAATGGAGAATCACAATGATAACCAGCTCAGAAGGTTGGCTCCTAAGACCACTGAACCTCTGCGGCGCTGCGATGTAACTTTGTACCCTCGCCTTCTTCCTCGCCCCGCACAGAAGCTCGATATAGAGCCCTTCCCGCGTCTGATGAGCTCGTCGGAGGGGAGCACGGTGGATATCCGCCCCCTGGGAGACGGGGTGGATTCGGTGGAGATGGAGCCGGAGGAGTCGCTGGAACCAGAGGCCTGCTTCACAGAGGGTGAGAGGGATGCGAGGGTGATGGGCAGGGAGGATGATGGGTAGTGGGGAAAGTGGGACAGAGAAATAGAGAGGTGGGAGTCGGAAACGCTTCCACACCATACTTGCAGCTGAGTGACGGCGAATACAAATGCTCAGCGGGACAGAAAGAAAAGTTGTCTGTGGGATTGTCTCGGTTTGTAATGTAACCTGACATTTAGTCTGACACACCTCCAGTGCCGTTCTGAATGTGAAAGTACCTCCTCAGTCATGAGTCGGGAATACAGAATAGAATATGATGATTCTTCTGTGTAATGGCACCCAAATGGCAGATTTCAAATGCATTCATTTTGCCAAATTTTAGGACATTTTGTTAGTTTTGCACTGGATTTGAATGAGAAAAGATGTTTTTGGTTTTAATCATCAGTCGACATGGACGTCATATTCATTCTCCCCACCTTTCCCTCCACGCCTGCAGGCTGCGTGAGCAGGTTCCAGTGCTGCCAGATCAATGAGGACGAGGAGCATTTTAAGAGCTGGTGGACACTCAGGAAAACCTGCTTTATCATAGTGGAGCACAACTGGTTTGAATCCTTCATCATATTCATGATCCTGCTGAGCAGTGGAGCACTGGTAAGTGTGTGTTTATCGTCCTTTGTTACCCAAAATCAAGAATTTTTGATTAAAAACATGACTTGCACTATTAAGTTAGGTATGACACATTACTGCAAGAATCTCAGGCCTGGTCACAGCTAGCTCACACCGCCAGCAGTCTTTACCATCTATTCCTTTGTGTACAGGCGTTCGAGGACGTTTACATCGAGCAGCGGAGGACCATCAAAACCGTGCTGGAGTACGCAGACAAGGTCTTCACTTACATCTTCATCCTGGAGATGCTGTTGAAGTGGGTGGCATACGGCTTTGTCAAGTATTTCACCAACGCCTGGTGCTGGCTGGACTTCCTCATTGTAGACGTATGTATATCGAGTCCATGTGGAAATGAAGCTTCCAATCTGGCTTTCAAAGACAATTAAGACTTTGAGGAGTAGTTTGACATTTTGGGAAATAGCACATGTGCTTTCTTGGCGCGAGTTAGATGCGAAGACTTAAAACCGCCAACTTGGTTTTTGGCCCAAAGACTCCGAGTTCTTTTTTGCAACCAGTGGACCAGCCCCCTGCTGGCCATTAGAAAGAATGCAAGTTTCACTTTTCCGACTCTTGCTTTGCAGAACTAGGCTATTTCCTAAAATATCATACTTTCCTTTAATGCTTATCATACAGATATAAATACCATTGAGTGTGCCCAAGTCCTTGTTCATCGTTGTCATAACTCTTTATCTGAAATTCAGTTTTTGGAGATGCTTCTGTAATTCATTTTTAAAGGCTTTAAATTCTTATACCCCTTTAATTGTGTGCATTAATGCCTAATCAACCATCTTGTTCAAACACTCAGCCCTTCACCGTGCAGAGGGACCTTCTTTTTCTCACCTTTCACCCTGCCCGTGTCTGTCATTTTCGTCTCTCAGGTGTCCCTGGTCAGCCTTGTAGCCAATGCTATGGGCTACTCCGAGCTAACCACCATCAAATCTCTGAGGACACTGCGAGCCCTCCGGCCCCTGAGGGCCCTGTCTCGGTTTGAGGGCATGAGGGTAAGGACTCCTTGGAATAACGACGACACGGAACCCACCAAATTGTTTGTGGGCAAGCTGAAAGCCTGTGTTTATTTAAACGACTTTCAGGTTAACTTGTTGAAGCTAGACCAACGTGAAATGCTTTTTACATGCGTCTGTAGAGCGATCTGCGTGTGTTCTGTTTTGGGGTGCTGAAGGAACCTTTTAGAACCTTTGGTGTGTGTGTTAAGTGGTCTTAGCTTGTAAGGGGGCCTGAATGTATATCTGCATGCTTATTACAACTTCTGTAGAGTTCTCTTTTCCTTGCAATTCAACGCTGTACTTCTTCTCTCCGCATGACTTTCTTCACATTGTGTCAATGGATTACTGTATATAGCTGTTCTCAGGCATTGTTCTCTGACGTTGCTCGTGTGGTGCCTTTGACCTGTAATTCTTTTCTTTGTTGTGTGTCTTTTTTCATTTACAGTCAAACAAAATGTTGTGACTTCATCCCGCCTCTCTAAGGTTTTTTTCTGTTTTGCTTTTTTACCTATCAAATGTTAACTTTCTCACCTATCCACCTTCTTCTTCTCCATCACGTTGTTAAATTCTTTGTAGCTGGTGTTAAGAGCTTTATGCGTGCAGACAGTACGTATTAAATGCAGCTTTGTATAATATAGGAGTGCTATTTTTAAATCGGCCTTGTGCTTGTGTTCTGCAAACCGTAGCGTTAGCTTTACAACTCAATCAAATCAGGTGTCCGCATGTGTAATTTAAGAACAGTGAAGTGATTAGATGATTGTAATGGCTACTTATCTCAAATCAAACAGCCCCGTTCTATTTTGGCAAGCAGAGAGTGCTGAGTTTGTCCGTGTGCTCGGGCCTCTCCAGGTTGTGGTGAACGCGCTGCTGGGGGCCATCCCCTCCATCATGAACGTGCTGTTGGTGTGCCTCATCTTCTGGCTCATCTTCAGCATCATGGGCGTCAACCTGTTCGCGGGGAAGTACTACTACTGCGTCAACACCACCACGGACGTCAACTTCCCCATCGACGTTGTCAACAACAAGAGCGAGTGCCTGAACTTGGTCAACGACAGCGCCCGCTGGAAGAACGTCAAGATCAACTTCGACAACGTCGGGGCCGGCTACCTGGCTCTGCTGCAAGTGGTGAGTTTGGTCTCGGTGACGCATGAAAAAGTCAAAGTACGCATATGTGTTAAGTATTTACGATGGAACTCTCTGGCTCCAAAGCACCTTATCAACATAATAAAATGATCGAACATGGTACCCTCAAAACGCTGAGTGCTCTAAATGACAGCCAAGCAGCAGAGCTTGACTGCTCACCATCCACCCTGACTCTTCTCTCATCTGCTCTCAGGCTACATTTAAGGGCTGGATGGACATCATGTACGCAGCGGTGGACTCTCGAGACGTAAGTCGTGTATCACACGAGTTAGACTTAAAACAAACTATGCGAATTACGGAGATAGAGCCATGATGCTATTAGCTTAGCACTATTTATTGTAAAGAAATAAGATACGTGTTAATCAGTGGGCTTCAGACAGCCAGTAACATGTGTAATCTGTCTTAATGCAGGTGGAGGACCAGCCTGAATACGAAGTGAACTTGTACATGTACCTCTACTTTGTCATCTTCATCATCTTCGGCTCCTTCTTCACCCTCAACCTGTTCATCGGCGTCATCATCGACAACTTCAACCAGCAGAAGAAGAAGATAAGTTGCATATAGCGACAGTCTCTGTCAGATAAAGTAAACCCAGATCACAGCAGACCCACAGCTGTGTTAAAGCACATAGTGATGATTATCTGCAGCACGGTGAGGACCGAAGATCAATGAGGACGCATGAGTCACAGAGAAACACCCAGCCTGCACACACACACACACACAATATGTGCCCTCCATTCAAGCAAGCAATAACAACTAGGATTGGCAACGCCCAAGAGGGGGAGAAGGGGGGGGGGGGGGCGATTGCACTGTGTTTGCATCATGCCGGCGGCTCCGACGTCACGGACCGGCTGAGTATCAGTTGGTGTGTTCAGCAGCCCACGGTGTCACACAGATGGTTGTTCAGTGAGCAGCACTCAGAGTGATGCGTGCATCACATCGTGGTGGGGGGGCGCATTGCTTTGGTTGATGAGAGCATAGTGACTGGAATGTGGACTTCTTTTGGAGATAAATTAGAAAGGTTATTATTTTTTTTAAACACATTTTTCATGCTCTTTCATTTTTTGATGGAAGAGTTTATCATGAGAAAATGTCCCTTCATGCTGAAATGCATCAGCCGGTTTGTCAGCCTGTCGATTGCAAATCAATTTACCTCAAAGAATAACACAGGAGGTGACTCTTCTGCTGCCTTTGTTCTCTGGAGATCAGCATGTTCCCCTGACCCAGTTTTTCTTGAGGCAGCTCACCTGTTTCCTCTTACTGATTGTGTGATCCAACTCGACATGTTACCTTCAGACAATCACAACAAACAGGATTTTTTTTAAAGGCAGAATCACAAAAGACCCCACATTGCTCCTCAGCAGAGCCTCCGCTCTGTATCTGCCTTCCTCCGTTGCTCACAAGGAGCTCTGCCCTCTCTGTAAATTAGAGTGGACATGTGGCTCTGTGTAGTAATTAGGGCTGCAACTAGTGTTCATTTTGTGAGATATTTATTTTTATTTAGTCTTTATTTAGTGCAGTGTCACATGCCCTCATTTATTCAACCTCACCCAGTTTTGGTCCTATCTTAGGCCGTGGTTACACGACTGTTTTATTATATTTTGTTGTTAAATGAGACAAACTTTAATACCCTCTCTGGTATTTGTTCGGCATATGGCTGCTCTGTTGATCATGTAAAGCAAAAAGATATTCCACGATGTGCTTGTCACCACGTTTTGTTGTGCTCCCTTTACTTTGGAGGTCAGGACATCTTCATGACAGAAGAGCAGAAGAAATACTACAACGCCATGAAGAAGCTGGGCTCCAAGAAACCACAAAAACCAATACCTCGGCCAACAGTGAGACAGTCTGGTTCTAAATAAAGGACTACAAGTGCAGGTGTGAAACGACTCCCGTCTCCTGATCCCTTGTACTCCTCTTCCCTCAGAATGCGTTCCAAGGCTGCGTGTTCGACTGCATCACCAAGCAGGCCTTCGACATCGTGATCATGATCCTCATCTGCCTTAACATGGTGACCATGATGGTGGAGACGGACGACCAGACGCTGGACATGGACAAAATCCTCTACAGGATCAACCTGGTCTTCATCGTGCTCTTCACCGGGGAGTGCGTGCTCAAGATGATCTCTCTGCGTCACTATTACTTCACCATCGGTTGGAATGTATTCGACTTCGTGGTGGTGATCCTGTCCATCGTAGGTAAGGAGATGCTTCAGGTGCCTCGGCCTTTCCAGTGGATTATGGGTAAAATGGTGTGCTGAATGTGATGGTTGTTTTTTTTGCTTTTGCAGGTATGTTTTTGTCCGAACTGATCGAGAAGTACTTTGTGTCCCCGACGCTATTCCGAGTGATCCGTCTGGCCCGGATAGGCCGCATCCTCCGCCTCATCAAAGGTGCCAAGGGCATCCGGACGCTCCTCTTTGCCTTGATGATGTCGCTCCCCGCTCTGTTCAACATCGGCCTCCTCCTCTTCCTCGTCATGTTCATCTACGCCATCTTCGGCATGTCCAACTTCGCCTACGTCAAGCACGAGGCGGGGATCGACGACATGTTCAACTTCGAGACGTTCGGGAACAGCATGATCTGCCTGTTCCAGATCACCACGTCGGGCGGGTGGGACGGCCTGCTGGCGCCTATTCTGAACAAGAGGGATCCCGACTGCGACAGCCAGATGGAGCACCCGGGCAACTCCTACAGGGGCAACTGCGGCAACCCGTCGGTGGCCATCTTCTTCTTCGTCAGCTACATCATCATCTGCTTCCTCATCGTGGTCAACATGTACATCGCCGTCATCCTGGAGAACTTCAGCGTGGCCACGGAGGAGAGCGCCGAGCCGCTGAGCGAGGACGACTTCGAGATGTTCTACGAGGTGTGGGAGCGCTTCGACCCCGACGCCACGCAGTTCATGGAGTACATCAAGCTCTCCGACTTTGCAGACGCCCTGGATCCGCCGCTGCGCATACCCAAGCCCAACATGCTCCATCTCATCTCCATGGACCTGCCGATGGTGAGCGGCGAGCGCATCCACTGCCTCGACATCCTGTTCGCCTTCACCAAGCGGGTGCTGGGCGAGAGCGGCGAAATGGACGTGCTGCGCGGGCAGATGGAGGAGCGCTTTATGGCCTCCAACCCCTCTAAGGTGTCCTACGAACCCATCACCACCACGCTGCGCCGCAAGCAGGAGGACATGGCGGCCGTGATCATCCAGAGAGCCTTCCGCCGCTACATGATCCTCCTGGCCATGAAGAAGGCCTCCACCCTCTACAAGGAGCGGCTGAAGGAGGGCGTCCGCGACCCCGACAAGGACGTGATGGTCATCGGCAAGTTCTCCGAGAACTCCACCTCGGACAAAACGGACATGACGCCCTCCACGGCCTCGCCGCCGTCCTACAACAGCGTGACGAAGACGGACAAGGACAAATACGAGAAAGAGAACACGGACAAAGAAAACAAAGGGAAAGACAAAAAGAAAGACTTTTTAACAAATCCGAACAAATAAAATAATAATGCATCAGAGACGCGAGGGCAATTTGTTTACAGCTTTCTAAAGGGGGTGGATAGAGACACACTTGTTCAGAGATGAGGAGCGCTATGCCAGGTGGGCCTGAAATGGGAGCGTGCTTATGTCACATGTGAATACGTGGGGGTCTTCTCAGAGACAAAAAGCAGACACTGCCAGAGATGGACTGGACCACGGGGAAGCCTCTCTGCACAAAACGCTTGTGATTTTCCTATTGGTTGTTGTTACTATCTGACACACTTGAGTGTACTGTTAAGTTGTCTGTAGCTAGTGCTGCTGCTACTACTATAAATCCAGTGTCTTGAATTTAACAATCGCTGTATCACAAAACTCTTTTTTTTTTCTGGTGACGAGGTTTCTTTTTTCTTTTTTTACGAGAAAGAATATTTTATACTTTTCTTTGTGTTGTTATTGTGAGAATGCATCCACTGCTTTCACTGTTGTAGAATCAGGGCAGACGGAGTGCAGCGGTCTACCGAGCTGAGCTGCAACGGACAAATGCGTCGCATTCAGTGCCACCACTGATTGTTGGAATCTGTATTGTTTCAACGGAGAACACAAGTCTCTGATCACAGAGAAGCTGAATGTATGCAAGGGATGAGACATTTCAAGAAATAGTTTGACATTTTGGGGAATATCCTGCTTTTAAAGAATTTAAAAAACATTTTTTTTTCGCCTTTTTAAAGACATTTTAAGTACGAATTCATTTATTTTTTAATTTTTTAATTGAAGTTATTGGCTTTTTGTCATGCCTGAAAAGCCCCGCGGGCGCCTAGTGACACAGCTTGTGAGGTGCGTTACCATTCGTAACTTTGCGCTTTACGCTAAATACGTGATGACATCACTTTTGGCTTGCGCACTACTGCGACCGTAAACTCTGCTTCGGCTCATTAAATGTCTTTTCAAAATAAACCTCTGCGTTCACAGGAAATGCACAGTTGCCGCTGACCCTTGCAGTTAGCCAACGCACGGACACGAAAGCAGAGAAGCCTCTTTTCCCTGAAATGTCCAAAATATTCCTTTAAATGTGACGCTCATATCTACCCGTCCATCCGTATCGCAGCGTCTCCTCCAACGCATTACCCCCCCCCCCCATATTGTGAAGAAAGTATAAATATAAAGAATCTTTCTAACTGCCCTCAAGCTACAACATCACGATATATATATATATATCCCATATACGGTATCGCAAACGTTTGTACGACGTTCATGTTTCAATTGAGGAGCGAGTGGTTTTAATGTAGTGGTTTGTACATAATCTAGCTGTTTGGGCCCACAGTATGCATCACACTTACATTTGATGTAAGAGCACTTTTTACCCCCCCCCTGCTATGTAACACCTCGTGTGGTCATACATGTAAGTGTGTGTGAGATGTACGTCTATGTGTGAGGGAGAATGTAAGCGTCCATCTCTTTATGTTTGTGTGCAACTGAGGGTCTGCGGGTTGCTTATGCTCCACCGATTATAAATAACATTTATATTGTAGATATAAGTGCATTTTTCCAGTCTTCGGATTTAATTTATTTTCTGCACTGTAACACATGACGATGTATGGTCCCCCATATCTGTAGAAACCATGAAGCAATCAGTAGCCATCTCTCATTGCGCTTGTAGTGTTTTAGTGAACTGCATGCAAGAAGTGACTACTGTCCCGCTCATATGGTCCTGTCAATTCAAAAGCCAAAAGAATAAAGGACATATTTTTTGTAAGCGCCTGTCTTATTTTCTCCGGTTCCTCTCCCCGGCCTTCGCTTTGTTCTGTCGATTTTAAAGGTTCTCCTGTGAGTGATCTGGATCCTCCGTGTGGTTCAAGTACTTGTTACAGTTATGTATCAATTTGCAAAATGTGACTTTTTTTTGTTACTGAAGATGTGGCAACAAAACACGAAATGGAAAAAGATTTTCCAAAATAAAAAACCTTGTTTTGGGAAGCGTATTTTGCATGCGGGATGCGTTCATTGTGAGGTGAGAGCTCATGTTGTCATATTACAATACAAGTATGGATGCCGAAACATGCCACAAACACTTTATTTTTTATTTATAAGCAGATAAATATGTATTTTATTTTACTATAACTAGTTCTTGGCAGAAACATGGACATAAATAAAAATGTTTTGTGTGGCGGCCGAGGCTTAGTGGGTAGAGTGGGCCGTCCTTTAACCACAAGGTTGGCGGTTCGATCCCCGGCTCCAAAGTCAAAGTGTCCTCAAGAGGGACACCGAGTCCCTCAGGCTGAGGGTCCACGTTTATTCTTGACCTCAGAAATAGTATTGAATGTTTACAAAACTAAATCTTAACTCGAGGTCTCCTTACTAGATTTCTTTCAGATGATAGAATGGAGCTTTCACCAACATCTCCCGTCCTTCATCAGCCGACCTATATCTGCCCATCTATAACCACATGACCAAAGCTGCTAACGGAGCGGCTGATCTTCGTTCGATGATGAAGGCCACACGATGCGACTGAAAGCACAGGAAGAAAAAAAAAGTAAGTGGACCTTGAGTTGTATTTGTATTTAGTCAAACGGTGAACGCTCAAGTGCAGTTGTGTTTTTTAAAAGCCAGCAAACAAAGTTCTGAGTTTGATCAGAGGAAATATATCGGCCATTGCTCGAGGAACAAACTATTTGTCCTTTTTAAAGGAACATTTTAAACAATATATTCAGCATTAGACATCTTTAGTGGTCGCTCAACACATCGTAGTCGTGTTTCGTGTCAGCGCGCCAGACAGACACGCAGAGGGAGGAGGAGACGGGGAGGGAGAAGGAGGTGGAAAGCCGAGACCACCCCACTTCTCTCCTCCTGTTGCCTGGCAACCAAACATTACAGATCCCTGCCTGTGATTGATCCGTCTGTCTCTGAGCTTGCTTACCCACAATACATTGCCGGCTATAAAAACACAAGCTCCAACTGACCCCCCCCCCATGCTTACCTTACTGGTTTGATTTTCTAAGGAGAGGGAGCGGTCAAGCGATGATCTTGTTTCACACTGAGCTCTGATGATGATGAACAGCACCGCACACTTGTTGTCGGAGGATCACTGCTGGATGTACATACAGTCTCTATTGTGGCCCAGCACCTGCTGCAGTTGTGTGGTTAAGCAACGAGCCATGAATGTATTTCTATACATGAATAGGCCGGCCAATGAGGTGAGAACACAACAGCTTCCAAAGACTCGGCAGCGCTCTCTAGAGGCGACAAGCTGCAACAAACTGGCGGTGGTGTGGGGCGGGGGGGGGTATACATGAGAATGGGACAACAGGGGGACACGGCAGTGGGACAGATAACCAGAGAGCCACAGCTGTGATGTCATAATGTCCTTGAAGCCGGACTTGCGTGAGCGGAGGAAAAGACACAATCTAAATAGTGTTATGTTCACTGACAGAGGACAGATGTGGCGAAACCCCATGTCACAGCTTGTCCTGAGGCAGTACTCAACCAATTTACTGACGTCAGAGGGGAAAAGATGGTTTAACCCCTTCATGCTGGAGGATGTCAGTGGCAAGCAAGATGAGGTCGATCATTAGGCAACAGATGCCATCTGCTGGTAGAGAGATAGAATACTCTGGGTGTGAGGGTGTGGATTCTGTTTTATGGGTAAAAATAAGTGCAGATTGATGTTACAAAGTTGTTTTTTTATTCACACTCATGGCAATGTACAGTTGCTTTATAAAGAACATGAAATATTTTTGGCCCGCAGTATTGAGAGACAACATTAGTTACTTTGACACAAGCCTTAACTTATCTGAAAGCTTGTTCACGTGACTGTAAAACGACAAATAACATGCACAGACAAACAAAGTCCTCAGGCGGATTATATGAAGCGGAACTGTCTACAGTAGGAGGTCATGATTTGGCATTATACAGTGGGTACGGAAAGTATTCAGACCCCTTTAAATTTTTCACTCTTTGTTTCATTGCAGCCATTTGCTAAAATCAAAAAAGTTCATTTTATTTCTCATTAATGTACACTCAGCACCCCATCCTGACAGAAAAAAACAGAAATGTAGAAATTTTTGCAAATTTATTAAAAAAGAAAAACTGAAATATCACATGGTCATAAGTATTCAGACCCTTTGCTGTGACACTCATATTTAACTCACATGCTGTCCATTTCTTCTGATCCTCCTTGAGATGGTTCTACTCCTTCATTGGAGTCCAGCTGTGTTTAATTAAACTGATTGGACTTGATTATGAAAGGCACACACCTGTCTATATAAGACCTTACAGCTCACAGTGCATGTCAGAGCAAATGAGAATCATGAGGTCGAAGGAACTGCCCAAGGAGCTCAGAGACAGAATTGTGGCAAGGCACAGATCTGGCCAAGGTTACAAAAGAAGTTCTGCAGCACTCAAGGTTCCTAAGAGCACAGTGGCCTCCAGAATTGTCAGGATGGGGTGCTGAGTGTACATTAATGAGAAATAAAATGAACTTTTTTGATTTTAGCAAATGCCTGCAATGAAACAAAGAGTGAAAAATTTAAAGGGGTCTGAATACTTTCCGTACCCACTGTATGTTGTTTATTCCAAGTGGGATACTTTGTTGGCAGCATTTCTACATGTTCAGATTACAGTTTGATTTACATATGAGCAGGTTGAAACTGCAAACTTAGCTGAAGGCTAATCGCTCACAATGGCAACGCTAACGTGTTGATGCTAACGGGCGCTAGCTATTTTAACTTGGCGTTCAACATTTTCTGTTCAGCACTGAACACAAAGCTTAGTGTTGGAGATGTAGAGCTCTGCATGGAAGTCAACATCGCAACGGTCTCCTCGACAAGAAGCCAAATGGATTTTTACATTGGGTTTTGGAATACTGCAGAAAATAAGATCTGTGGCGAGCACAAGTTTGTTACTCACATGTTTTGTTCTTCACAAATGAACGCCAGTGTTATGATTTGTTATGATATTTCGTATTAAAATCTCTGAAGCTTTTGTTCACCACAGACCAAACCAAATCAAAAACCCATTCTAAAGAGCCAGTGACTTCGAGACAGGGGTACCGGAAAGTGCTAAAATGGTAACTCATGTCCGTGTTTTAGGACTTATTATTGCAGCGCTCAATTTGGCCATAAAATAAAGTATTGGACGAAGTGAAATATTGACCGTATGGCAAGTTAAACTTATATTACAGATTTTTTGCTGCTGTGTAAGCACAATATTGCATTTATTCAGTGTCAAGTCATATCTCTTTCCACCTGATAAATGTCCACTGTTCACGCTCCTTTTAGCAAGTCTCCAACAATTCCTGAGGGAAATATCGGTCTCTTTAGCTGCTAAATGCTCCACTATGATAACCAGCTAGCTTGCTAACGTCAGTGCTAACTGTCTTCCGGTTGAAGCACGGGGTGGCATAGTGTACAGATGGTTATTCAGAGCTTTTATTCCATGAAAACAGCTGCCTGCTTAGGCTAACGGCTAATTAATAAGATAAAAATATTTAATGCTGCTTTAAGGGATGGCCAACGTTATTAAAATGTATTCCGTCTGGACCAAAAGAGACGCCGCTAGGGAGGCTAAAATGTGCGCACAAAACGGAACAAAAACAGATATTTTTGTATGAATTGGAAGAGATTTATGTGATGCTAGGAACTCATATAAATGCCAGTGTTTTGCCAGGGACATCGTTTATCATTTTACAGTTTGTGTCGAAACATCTTAGGTAAACTGAACACATGCTATACAGACAGGCATTTAAGAACCATTAGCAGCAACGATGAGACTCCAGCAAAGTGAAAAACAGTGAAAGAATACAAGCACCTCGAAATCTTGATTCGTCATAGATGCCAGTCACAACCAGGAAACATGCTGTAGTAATCAAAGACTCCGGAAGAGGGCATAAATGATGCTCCATAGAGTTACAAGCACCGTACAGAAACACTGTTTTATTGAGCTTCGTCAATGAACATTTTATATTTTATTCAACTGACAATCTTAGAAAGGAGACAAATCGAGTTCAAATTAGATGGACCTCTTTCAGCCTTCTGTTGCAAAGTCTTTATGACTCATTCCCTCTTTGGAAGTGCACTTATCAAGAATAAATCAAACTGATGGTTGAAGGTTTTAATTCTTGAATAAAGATTTTCCAAACATGAACCGATCCCGCTCTAAAGCGCTTCAATCAGGTGCTGCCCGAGCACGACGTGTCTGTGATTTGATTGCCTTGCTTTTGCAGTCCTGGTTGCTCCTTGATCAGCGCCATCACTTCCTCCCCTGTTTGCTCCGCGGACCCAGCCAGAACCTCAGTCTGTGAGTCATGGCGGTCCGGATTGTTCGAGCGTGGCTTTTGGTCGCCGGCCGCACCAGCAGGGGCGGCGCGGCTCTCGCGGGTGTCTACACGTGAGCAAGGTTGGGGCGCCTGGGACTCGACGGGGTCGGTGAACTGGCAGGGAGCGCTCGGCCGCTCTGTTTGGAGGCGGAGTTTCGGGTTTATTTCAGACTCCAACGCGGTCTCTACTGTGGGGAGTGTGGGGGCCACGGGGACATTTTCATTTATGGCGCTGTCTATCTGATAATGCTGCATGGAGGGAGTGTTGTGGAAGGGGTTACCGAGGCTCATGTTGGAGTAACTCAGCACGGAGGGAAGTGGAACAGAGTAGGGTGGAGGCCTCGTTCCGTGCAACGAGCAATCCCAATCTTCCTCCTCGTCGTCGTCTTCCTCCTCCCCCTCATCGTCCTCCTCGTCCTCCTCATCCTCTTCTTCCTCCTCCTCGTCCTCGGTCGTTCCCAAGCTGTGCGTGCTGCAGTCCGACAGCCCGCTGCAAACGCTGCTGCCGTCCTCGTCGTCCTCATAGGCCTCGTCGTCCTCCTCCTCTTCCTCCTCGTCCTCTTCCTCCTCTTCGTCTACATGTGAAGCCCCGTCGCCTGTGTTCGTGTTCTGGAGGTGCATGATGGGAATGTGCGGCGTGCCACTCATCAATGGGAACTGCAGGTTCGGCGGCTGCTGCTGCTGCTGCTGTACCAAGGAGGAGTCGCCATGGTAACCGTTGCCATTGGTTACGAGCTGCTGCTCCGGCTGCTGCTGCTGCTGATGATGCTGCTGCTGCTCCTCGCGGTTCTTTTCCAGCTCCAGCTTCATAATGGTGTGCAGGAAGTGGGTGCGCACCCGGACCGGGTTGAACTCCAGGCGTCCCGTGTCGTTGCTACAGCCGTCTTTGGTGCAGCCGCAAGGGAAGGACATGCGGTCCACCTGGGGACAGAAAGACAGATGCACCAGTGTAGAGCAGCAGTGACAGAAAATGTGAATTCCGCTGCCAATCAAAACTGGTCATGCTTGTTGAGGTACTGCAGAGTCCACTGCGGATGGTGTATGTATATAATTACACACCTTAATGCAGTAGAACTTCAGTTAACTCACATTTAATTGATTTCCATGGTTCCTGTTCAATTATGGGGTTACTTTATTCTCAAGGCTTATCATTATTTGGTTATGCAAATCCTCCCGAACCTTGAAAATATGCATATTCCCTAAAACAAGGCTGCTTCTCTCAGACTCTGCATGAGCATTCTTTTTAAAACATTTTTAAAATACCAGGTTTTCAGAAGTGAAATGTTGTGCATAGAAGATGTCAGAGGGGAGGGAGGGGGGGGCACTACAGCACAAGAACCTTGGGGAAATGTTAGAGAGCACTAATTACTGTATTCTTAAAAAGCCTTAAAGATGAATTGAATTTTGAATAGACCAGACTTTTTGTGTGAAGAAATACAGCATAATGAAAAAAAAAAGTAAAACTTACATCGGGTTACTTTTGGTAATTATGTTACCCAAAAAGAACACACGTTGTAAATAACTAAGGACTAATAAAACTATTAATAAATAAGGATATATATAGATACAGTATTTATACTGCTTTCAGTTTGACTTATCTGGAGACTTCTACTGCATAGTTAGACATGAACAACACTTTAGTATTATAGATGGGCCTCACCACAGTTCCATTTACCTGGCACTTAATGCCGGCCAGGCTGCAAGCACAGGTCTCCGGGTCGCATACCCCCCGGCAGCGGCACCCACACTCCTCCCGGGACATGCGGAGGGCGCGCAGCTCGTGCTTCTCCTCCACGTCGAGGCGTCGGACCCCCGAGGCGCGCAGCAGGGACCGGCGCCTCCTGGTAGTCAGGGGCTGGAGGAAGAAGTAATCGTCCACCTCCGTGTTGTCCACATCCAGGTCGTCTTCGGAGATGTCATCCAGCGTCAGGGTATCCGCCTCCACGGATGGCACGGTGCCATTCTTAGTCAGCTGGAGGACAGAAAAAAGAAAATTTGGACCATAGGTGTACACCCACACATATATACATACATACATTTAGACCCTCAGGGTAATCAGATGTTAGAGACACGCTCTGCTGAAGATTGGCTACGAAACATTCAGAATGTATAGAATCAATGCCCTCGCTTCCTGAAAAACACATTTAATAAATGAGGCTTTACTGAGTCGTCCCACTGACTTTGAGTTTGATGGCGTTGAGTTTCTCCTCTTTGAGGTGATCCCTCAACATATTCCGGTGGCTCCGTTTCTGCTCCATGGCGAACTCCCTGAGGGTAAAGCGCTTCACCCCGCTGTGACGAGGTGACATCCCCAAGGTGCTGCCGCCCTGCGTGGGCACGCTGGTGAAGCCCTGCCGGCGGTTGAAGTAGTAGACCGTCACGCTCTCAAAGTGCACGTTGCGGCTTCGCAGTCGCTTCGACTGCTGCTGGAGAGTAGCTATGACAGACAGGTGGAAACATGCATAAGAAAAAATAAGAACGGGGTCTTTTGGTGTTAAATAGGTGAACGTCGTCAGCGTAGAGCTTGAATTGAATGTGAAATCTCTGTAATCAACCGTGTGTCCTACAAAATGAAGTTCCTGTGCAACTAAACTTCAAGGGACATTTATTTCCCTCCAGATAACAGGTGCAGCTTTAAACTGTTTGAAACACATGATTAACATTGTAAAAAGAAAACACTACAAAACTACTTTGTTAGGTTTAGGTTACAAAAGTACACGGTTATATTCAGAAAACAAAAGTACTCGGTTCGGAAGCAAATTCTCTGTCTATTTCTTTTTATTCTGCCCAATTTTGAACAATTTCTCCCTCTCAATGTCCCGGTTAAAATGCTGTTTTTCGTGAGGCCTCAAGTGTTTCCGGTGCTTCCCACTGTACCAAAACATTACCAGCTGGAGCCGCTGACGGAAGCAGTGTGGTAATGTGATCTTACAGTCCAGCAGCCCAGAGGGGACGGGGTGGTTGAGACTATCGCTGCTGTTGCCGCTGTCGCTGCAGGAAACCTCGTCATCGGAGCCCTGCAGAGACAGGTAAGGGGGCGGGCCCTCCTCCAGCTTCCTCTTCAGGATCCCACTCATCATGTGGCCCCTCTCACTGGTCGCACCTGCACAGAGGACAAGGGTGAGGTTAATGGGTGACCACAGCCAGAGTAACAATAATACTAATAACAGCAACAACAACCGCAATCGTTTATAAATGAATAGTAGGAGTCGGTGGACAACAAAAACAGAGCAAAGAGAGTGTGATTCTTCAGGACAGAAACATGACTCTCAATGAATGATAATGTTGCCTTCACAAATTGTTTCTTCTGCCTCTAAATGGCCTAAAAAACTGTTTTTCTAACAGGTAGATAGCATCCTTAAAGTTGATTGTGTAAAACTCCGTAGCACATGGAAAACTGTGGAATTGACTCCACATTAGCACCTTATTTATTCCGTCCTCTGCCATTTTAATCAAGACATTCCGCTATCAAATCATGCGGCCCATTTCCTCCTGAATAATAAAATAATAAAAGTAAAAGAACTTTGTAGAGCAGAGCCGTTTGATATGCTGAATTTTCACATATTTTATACGTGTGGCCACAAAAGTGCACGTGGGACTAATTCAGAAAGAAAAACACTTAATGTGGTGACAAAGGATTTTCCAAAAAATAATTCTTAGAAATCAAACATGTTTTCTGACAGTGTCCCAAAGTACTCCTTTATCTTCAGCCCATTTCCTCTATTATGTATTGAACTCTCAAAGCATTGACGCCAAGCAATCGGCTCAAAGGAGGTGAAATTACCAGTGAAGTATTTAAATTTGATGTTTTTGGAATACTGCATTTGTACTGATATGTGCAAAGTCAAACGTAACAAAGTTTTCAAAAGAACTACTCGGATGAGCTCAGTCTATAGCTCAACAAACCTGTATCCTGGGTGAATTGAGTATGTCTAGACTTTGCCAAACTTTGTGAGGCTTAAAAAGGAAAGAAGTCGAATGAAGTGTCGCGCTCATTAAGGTTTTCATTAACTGATAGTTCGTATCGGTCTCTGTTGTGGAAAATTGAAAGAGAGGCGACACTTCTGATAAGAGGTGATTTGCACACCTGGTAAGCCCTCTGCACTTTGTTGATATGTAAATTTATAATTTGGAAAAAATAAACTCGAGCTGACTGCTTGGACTGGTAGAGGATTACATCATATGCAGCAGAGCTGAACGCTGGGCCAAGCTTCTCCTCTCTGACAGGCTTTGTCTCCTTCCTCTTACTGCAATACAAGTATGCCATCCTCATCCTCAACATTGTTATTCTTTCCTTCTTTTTCATGATTAGTTCCCTTTCTTGTTACTCTATCCAAACAGTAGTCAGGACTGAACACAATGTAACATCTCTGTGTGTTTGATGGCACAGAGGGTGTTGCAGTTTTTTTTCTTGGATCCAGGAGAGTTTCCTGTGCTGCCCATGCCTCTTTACACACACACACACGCAAACAACACACACACACACGCAAGCCTGCTCACGTGTCCTCGTGCACGCGCACACCTCCCACCCCCCATGCCCCCCATCCCGAACACCCGACAGGGGAATTCTCATTGACAAATGTAGATCGGCATCAGCCGGTAACGTGACGAGGTCTCTGCGCTGCTGCATGCAACAAAAGCAGAACAATACATAGTCTCTCTGCGAGTGTGTCTGACCACCACTGACCTGTTTCCTCGGCGTGCCTCTTGTGGTTTCCAGGAAGTCCTCGACTCTCTCCTCCGCATCACACAGTGGCTTCACCAGCAGCAGCAGCCAAACATCCCCATGTGTCGTGATGATGCAGTGAGCGCTGCCATGATGCCTTCTCTCTCTCTCTCTCTCTCTCTCTCTCTCTCTCTCTCTCTCTCTCTTCCCAGCAGCCTCTGGCACTATTGTGCAACACTGAACACCTCTGCCTCTGTCACTACCTTATGCGTTCTCCCTGTGCACCCTCATCCTATGCTCACACTGTCAAGTCTCTCACTGTCTGATTCTTCCCCCCCCCCCCCCCCCCCCCCCCCCCCCCCCCCCCCCCCCC